TTGGACTATATTTTATTTAGCTTTTTAGTTTTTTTTTTCGACCACAAAATTGAACTTTTATTCAAATTAATTTAATGCTTTAATTTTCAACATTCCGATCTCGTCTCTTAATAGTATTTTTCTACATATTTAGAGTCTTGTACACAAAAAATAGTGATATGATAAGTTATATCATTGCTCCAATTTAAAGAATATTGATTGAAATTATAAGTAATTGAAAATTGATAAAGGTGTGGTGAGTCTGGGAAATTAAGCTTGATCAGATTTGAGTTTATATTAGAGAAAAAAGTTATCATCATGTACTCTACTTACTTGACCCGGCTGCCCTTGTATGGAGGGAGGGTCTAATTTCCACGATTGTGAAGTAAACGTACATCAATCGTATGATTGCTTGTTAAATTATATGGTTCAAGGAGGAGGGGGAATTCTGGAAGAAACAATTATATGCCTTGAAAGAATTTGAGATTCCAACAAAATTCCAACAGCCTTGGCCAAGACATAATCTCTAAAAATATCTCATTTAGCATCATCATATACATTCCTAGTACATGCATCAAAAGTCATCAAATGTGTTGCCTGCAATGCTTCTCAACATTTCTCTAACTGTTAGGACTTGTGACAAACTACAGCTCTGCAGGAAGAGTCGTTATCTATGACCCATAGACTCATTTCTTGAAGCTGCTTCCGAATGGAATTCATATCCATCTCTTTATCCCAGTAAACCACCTTTTTATTGCTCTCCAAGGTTTGATTGAGATTTTGGTTACTGATTTTCATGCCGAGGCCTTTCTCATCTATTCGCTTACATCTTATTCCCTTCTGTCCCAATTGTTTTGTCATTACATATGCAAAGTTTCCGCCAACTCTTGGTACTGAAACTTTAACCACCATAGCTGCAATATCATGCACAAAAGCATCAGTCCAAATTTTGCGACTAGAAGGTGAGTTCTTGACAAAGAAAAGGTCCAAGCTCTCTCCTGCATAGAAGTCTGTCCGATCAATAGACTCGTGAAACAGGTCATTATTGACAAACACCATGTCTCCATCCAATACCCAAGTATTATAACCAAATTCTAAACTTTTTTTGACAAGAAAAGCCTTAAATAGAATCTCTTTCATAAACTTATCATTTGACTCTTGAATTCTTACTGATTCAGATGATCTTATATTGTTGAGAAATCGGTCTGCATCAATCACAGGATGTCCCCTTCGAGCAAGATCAAACAGAAAGTCAGTTGCAGGGCCGATGAAAATGTAATTCCAAATATTTAGGCTCTCAAAGTGGCAAAGAAGGTTTCTAGCAACCGTCTCCGGCACCCCAAATAGGCTTACAAGCAAAACAGTTTCCTTGGTCTGCACAGAGGGAAGAATAGACCCCAGATCATTCACGCGCCTTACCATTCTTCCCGGAACTACTTCCTTGAAACAGAAGTCATACCACTTCATGGTACTCAAAGATTTCATTTCTTGAAAATGGGAATCAAAAGAATTTGCATCCAATAGTTGAGAATCTGGCCCTGCTGTTTTTCCATAGTTAACACCAACATCCCTGTGAGAGACGCTAAGTGATTTCTCATCCGGAAACTTTGTGTAGATATTAAAATAGCCATGAGAATGAATAAATTTAATAAACCAAGGAGTCCAAATTCTTTCCCCCATCTTTTTGTACCAACCTGTGGTAACCTGTATATAGTATTTAGATTTTATTAAATTGAAAATAGACACACAATATATGAACAAGGAAAGATGAAGACAATCTCCAAAACAGCATAAATTTACCATTCCATCAAGAAATGGCTTGATATTTTTTGCCTTGTGATCATCATACCACAACCTAAACTCTTTCCAAGCCTTTGGAAAAAGAAGCTGGCCCCAAGTGCCAACCAGTTGGTAGAAGAAAAGTCCTGTGGTGCTCTCCAGTAGCACCTTGTTCCCATGTTTGCCTGGAGATGCAAGCAAATAATGAAGGAGCATAGAAATTTCTAAAAGAAAGAAAAGAAAAAGGATCATGTTTAGTGGCGTTTGGGTCAATAATCTTGCGATTTTGACAGTTAGAATGGGATGTGCTTTTCTTTGAAAATAATGTTGTTTTCATAACAATTTCTTCTTACAGGATAGCCGCATTTGTGACGACACAGACAAACACAAGAAGCAAAGGCAATTTACAAGCAGTGGATTGATTACCCTAGCAATTTTCAAGAGAAGATGCAGTTCTCTCTACTAAATAACTAAATCTTCTAAAACTGAACAAATAACTAAATCTTCTAAAACTGAACAAATAACTAAATCCGATCATCAATACACTAGTTCATATAATTAAAATTAAAGGCAACTTCAGAATTGTTCATCAAACAATAACAATCATTCATTTCTAACTAAGGAAAAGGAAAAGTTCCACCTAAACTATCAAAAAGGAAAAGGAACTCCAGAAGAAAAAGAAAAAATACCTGGAACAAACCTTGGTCGCTGAAGGGAAGCTCCATAAACAAAAGGTCTAAAATTGGAAGAATTGTAATAAAAATTCAAGATCAAAGCTTTCAGATACTTAAAATACAGTGGAGAAAGCTCCAAATCATCTTCCAAAACAAAAGCGAACTCGTCATCAGAAGTAGGCCACCAGGCTTCCAACCATTGAGCCTGAAGACCCACATTGGCGGTTCTGTAATGAACGATCTTTTGACCCCATTTCCACTCAAACCCATCAACAAACCGCAGAATCCCAAGCGACTCATTAAGTTTGAGGTCGATGTCAGATTTAGAATGGTTTGGGAAATGGTCGATGAAGATGTGAAGGTGGACTGGGAGGTCGGGGTCGTAGTGGGCTTTGGAAAGGGGGGTGAGGCAGCGGGTGAGGGAGTTGAGGCGGTTAAAAGTGAGGACTTTGATAGAGAGCGAAAAGGTACGGGTGGCGGAGGCGGATCTGGTGGTGGCGATAGACTGGGGATTTAGAGGAAGTGTTTGGGTGGAGATTGAACTCGGGTGAGGAGAGTAAAGGAGGAGGAGCATGCAAAAGGCGAGTAGGATCAGGAAAGGGACGAGGTGTTTCTTCGGAGGACCCATTGTCTTTTGGGCTTAGAATTTTCGGAAATGATTTGTAGAATTCATAGATCTCTTTCTATCTGTACAACTATAGAAAAGGCTCCGTGTGTGGTGGCAATGGCGGATTTTGGTTGGATACCAAGATCATGGATCCAAGAGTTGTGACAAAATTAAGGGTTTTGAACAGTCGAAAAAGAAAAGTGTTTTGAGATTTCAAGAGTGGAGGCGAAGAGGGAAAGCTCAGTTGAAGGTGATTGCAGCCGTGGAATTGCGGCGGCGGCCGCTGAAATTGGCGGTGATGTTGGTTGCTTGCAGCGGTGGAGTACCAGTAAAAGATTCAACAACTTGTGCACGACATTATGAACCTACTTTGGGTCTTAGCAACTTCGAATGGGTTGATCAAAAATGAAACTTCGAATGGTTCATTTGGGCCATTGCGAAAATTAGATGAAGTACAGACCCAGAATCAAAACCTATTTTGAAAATAAAAATACAATTAATCCAGACGTGAATCGAACACGGAACCTTCCGATCTGGAATTAGACGCACTATCCTTGCGGCACGGATCCTTCTATCATAAAATCCAAACTTTGTTTATTTTATTTAGTATATATCAGACTTAAATGAAAAATAGTCAAATGGATATCTAAACTATATATATATATATATATTGCTATGGGTACTTGTATAAAATTGCGATCATAGTATGATTTTAGTGTTTGAAAAAGGTAAAAATAAGTATATTTATGACACCAAAGTTATTCGCTAAAAAGATTTTTATTGTTGAAGTTTTTTAAGAATATGAAAATAGTATCGATAGTAAATAATATAATAAATTAAATATTATTTTACCACTATTATGAGGTATTTTTGCACAAAAAATCATATTATTTTTTATAATAATTGATATATAATCTATTAATCGATTAATTCGAATCAAATATTGTAAAGACAAAGACAATTCTCTCAACCCAATTTATTCCATCTACAAACGCCACGATAAAAAAATTTATCATATCATTATATAACATTAATTTTACACTAAAATATATATAAAAAACTTTTTAATGAAAATTTCATAGTTTATCATTTAAATCGATATAACTGATTATCAAAATTGATACAAATATAGGGATTTATATTTTTTTAACATCATAAAATTTTAATTCAATAAACATTTAAATGAATTTGTTACGTTCATTGAAAGTTGTCGAAATAATTGTTAAATTTAATTCCAAAAAAAACAAAGATTAGAGACAAGAGAGGCAAATAGGGGCGAACACATAAATTTATATAAGAGATTATAAAATTAAAAAATTATATTAAATTTTTAAAAAGAGTGAAATCAAATAATTAATAAAAAAACATTATTATTTTTTAAATATTCTAGGGCTTAGGGATGCGACCGTACCGTATCCCAGCCCAGCATCCCCTCTATCCATATCCGAGGCAAGAGTCTACACCGACGTTGTAGTGGTTGATATTTAGGGTAACAAAATGTTATTATTCTTGTGTGTTTAATATTCAGGGTAAAAAGTTAAAGATGTTTTATATTGATGACACGAATAAAACTAATAATATATATTATTTTTTATTAACATATCGTAAACAATTGAATATATATATATATATGTAATATATAATTTCTCCATGATTCCTATATCTACTGGGAAACACAATCATAGATTAACTGCCTTTCTCTATACTTAGTAGACTTTGTTCAAGATTCATAGTCACAACGAAGTCAGATTTGCAAAGAAAATACTTGATTAAAAATTACTTGCTAATCAAGTTTTCTTTAGTTTCACTAAAAGAAATAATCCCTCAATCCTAAACACTAGGGTTGATTTTATTCCACCACTATATAAGTAGAGAGCGAGAGTGTACTAGTATACACAGTGGGTAATTTTCTTCTAATTATCGTCAGTTGTGTTGGTTTGATATTTCATTATTATTTCATTATGTCTGATCGTGAAGAAGAGGAGTTTCACCCAAACGATCGGAGTGACATGTGTGACTCCGGTAGTGATTCCGCCGTTGCTTCCTTTGTCGTCTCCATTCGGAACTACTTGAAAACCACCCACAAAACTGAGGTTATGGAGCGAGGCGATGAAAACCACCCTCAAAATTCAAGATTTAGATTCTGTACATACTGCGGCAAAGGGTTTGAGTCGAACAAGGCACTGTGTGGCCATCTTCGGATCCACCGAGCTAGGTCAAAACCTGAAATCCGCGACATCAAGACTCAAAGAAAACCTTCTCCGGATCCGGAAGAAGATGAAGATGATGGTTTCGGTTGTCTTGTTTGCAACAAAAGTTTCTCATCGATGCAGTTGTTGTGCCTACATATGAGAATCCATCGTGAAAAGCTTTCCGATGGTGTTGGGCAACCTACAATGTCTCTGGAAAGCAACTCTAAGGCCACCGTCAAAGAAGGGATTGAGAGCACAGCCTGTCCAAGGAATGACCAAAATTGTTGTCAAACTGGAGAAAGAGGGTTGAAGAAAACTGCTAGCGACGACGATGTAATGCACGATGCTGTGCCCTTGAGGGTCTATTACGGACCTGCACATGCTCAGATGGAAACAAGGAAGAAGAGAAAGATTGAAGAGACCTCAACGGAGGGAATTACCGATAGTACTGAGAGCCCAGTGGGAAATTGTATGGCAATAGATACGTTGGGCAACAAGTCCAAAGCCAGGTCCAGGATGAAGAAAGCTAAGGTGATGAAAAGTGTGCATCCATGTGAGATATGTGGCAAGACTTTCACAACGGGTCAGGCACTCGGTGGTCACAAAACGTACCATCGGCCTAAGGTGGAGTTAGTGCAGGCAAAACCCAAACAAGAAACGTGTGTCACCAGAATGATGTTCCCTGAAGATGCTCCTTCGTCTGAACAAGCTCGTCGGAAGAAGATATTGGATTTTGATCTTAATATCCCTTATCAAGAAGAATGAGTTATTTCTTCTGTCTCTATAACTTCTGCATTTAAACTTTTGGTTAAGCTAAACCAAAACCCTAATTTTTCAGATTTGCTTAATTTGTCTAAATTACTTTGTCCTGGTCTTGGATTTCTTCTCTCTGTAAAATTGTTGCTGAAACACTTAACATCTTTTCAAATTTTATAGATTCTTGCGTTTTAATTATTTTCTTCTAGAGAACGCTTTACATCTTTTATATATGCATGAGGTATTTGACTTGTAAATTAGTCTTAAATAATTGATGAAGCAACAAGAAAAGTATGCAACGTTGACTAATGCACCGTTTGTTCCCCAAGTACAATTCACTTCGATTATATGTGCTCTGTCTGATTTCTTTGGGAGTGTCTCTAATGAAGGATTATATTTGTCTATAATGTTGATTTAAGTTATTTATTAAAGTTGATGATTCAGTACTGAAAAGGAAAAATGACGATATTGTTGATTAGTTTGAAGGTTGTGATTGATAGAGAAAATAATGATTGAAAATGAATTAAAGGGGGAATGTTGATTAGTTTGAAGGTTGATTGATAGAGAGAATAATGATTGAAAAAGAAATAAGGAGGATTAAGTTGATACAATAGTTAAAATTGGGTAAACTACATGTTTGGTACTAAACAATCAGTTTTATTTTGTTTTAGTACTTTAACTTTCATTTGTTTCAAAATCATTCATAACATTTACTTTTTTGTTACGTTTTGATACCTCAACGTCGAAAACCTAGCGGAACTATTACAACATGACACTTTTTTATGGATAAATTGCATCATTCATCTCTCATTTATATCTCACTCCCATTTTGGTCACTGAAGTTTTTTTTAAATTTAATTATTTAACTTTCAAATTACTCCAAACATGGGCGGACCTTCGTGGAGCCAAGAGCAACCTTCGCCCGCTAATTTTTTTTAAGTATTAATTAATATTTTATAAAATATATATTTTTGAAAAATAAATAAAGAAAAATTTATCAACCTCTCAATTAAAAAAATATTTATGAAAAATAGAAAATACTTTAACTCCTTTAATAAATTTCTTGTTCTGCCCCTGACTCCAAACTTAACAACTCTAACTTTTAAATTTAATTTCTTTTATTTTAATTATATATTAATAAAATAATAATAATAAATTTCATTTCACAAAACTATTTATAAAATAAATTGGAGTGATTAAAATATGAGCAATTTGAAAGTTGAGTAGTTAAATTGAAATTTTTTAATCTTTAGTGACCAAAATAGGAGTGAGAAGATAGTTAAGTGATGAATGAAATAATTTACACATAAAAAAGATCACGTGTAACAAATCCGCTAAATTTTTAACGACGAAATATTAAAAAAAACAAAAAAAAACAAACGTTAAGTATGATTTTGAAACAAATGAAAGTTTATGTATTAAAATGAAATAAAACTAATAATTTAAATACTAAACATGTAATTTACCTATAAATATTTTTTAAAATTAAAATTAAATAAAATTTAAAATTTATAAATATTAAGAACTAAATTTATCATACGACATAATTTAACTTTTACATAAATATTAAATTTAAAATTCCAGTGCATAATTTTTAGCTTATCGATTTTATGCTTATCTGTAATATTATATTTAAATATATTTAAAAAAAATAATAATATTCTATTTAAATATTTGAAGGATTATAACTAGTTTCAAACTTTGTATAAAAAAGAAAAAAAAGTTTGAGGAGTTGTAGATAATTTAAAAAGTTATTGGAAAACAGTATATTAAAAAAATAATATGATATAAATTATTATTATTTTTATTTTACAAAGACCAAATATAACAAAACCTGATCACCCGTAAACTCACAAATCACTACTAAAATCGTATGAAGGATAGAAAGAACATAAAGAAAGAAAAAATCAAAACTTCAAAATAATGCAAACAATATGTAACGTTAGGAAGCCATTGAATCTGGCGTCAAAAGAGATCGATCCAGAACCAGAAGCTTCATCCTTATCACTATCCTCTTCAATGGGGTGATTGAAGTTCGCCGGCACGATGGTCTCAGGGGCGGAATCATCGCTCTCGAAATCAGGACTGTTGGGCGCCGGCGCATCATCCGGCGGATCTTGTAAGCTCTTAGGCAACCCTTGGCCGTGGGTCACGTTTACCTTGAAGCGCTGTCCGTTGTTGCATTGCTCGCCGTCGTAATCACTGGAGAAGAAATAGGTCATCCCTTCTTTCAGTAGAGGGACTGCTACTGAGACTGAATGAGGCGCCGTGGACGACGGATCCACCGCCGACCATTGAATCGTGTCGTTTGGAAGAGCGTCATCGTAATCGCAGAGCTTGTATGTGGTGAAACTGTATGTTTGGATTATCGAATGGTTGTTATCCGTATTGAAGACTGTGAAATGAAATCAAAACAACGCCGTAATCAGTACTAAAGATTTCCATATTTTGGTTGAAATGGTTTTCTTCTATTAATGGATATATATACTAAAATTTCATAGATTTTCACCATATGAGTCAAAAAGGAAAAGAAACTTGACACAAAAAAGTACTTACTGAGGAAATCTCCCAAGCTGAACTTGTTGGAATCAGCCCATTTCCGGTAATCAACGTCAGGCTTTTCAAGGGGGTCAAACCAGCCAAGGGAATCACCAACTGTGTAGTTCTTGTAAGCAGCGACGGACCCTGAAAATGACAGAACCAGAAGACAGAAAACATTAATGGTGAAGAATGGCAGAACTGAAGTCTTGTGATAAACAGAGCTTTGTCCCATGTTTCTTGGGTGTCAGTAAATGGTCTTCTCTAAAAGCCATGGAAGAAGCTAAAGTTGTGATTTATATATGTAGCCTTGCCTTTCGCATGGAATTACTATAATGGTTTCCTTCATCCTTTTTTTATGGTCCCCATACCCCCATTAAATTGTCAGATTCAACTTCTGTTTTCGTGAAGAACCGAGTAAATGACAAGAAAAGCATGAGAAGAAGAGTGTGACGGAGAAGACCAAGAAAAACTTCCTGGTCTTCGTCTTTTAATATCTACAAAAGTTTATTATCAACTTTGAAATATATATAAATATTTTTAAAAATAATATTTAATTTCAAATAACTGCATGTCTATAACTATATATTAATTTTAACGTTTGATTTGTTCATTGTACAATAAAATCTGCAGTTATTTAATTTTTAAAAATAATTTGAAATTTCATTTAATAATTACAATAATATATATAAAAATAAAAGTTGATGTTAATTTGGGTTATAGTTGGGAAAACCTGCAATAAGTTTCTTGTTGAAGTTTTTAGGATAAATCAAAATTGAAAGAAAGAAATCTGAAAATATATTAATAATTTATTTGTCTTATATAGTAGTTAAGAAGTCATCTTGAATGAATTCATGAAACGACAGGAGTTGCAACCGAATCGATTGGGTTGGTATCTGGAACAATAACCACCACAGCTGTTCACCCTAATATAATTGATTTCACCAAATATTTCATTTTTTTTCTATCAAAGTTTGTTGGGGTTTTACGTTCTTACCCACAATAATGACAAAAATAAAAATAAATTAATTTATTAATCGTTAAATTTAAAATTATGTATAGATTTTACTATTAAATTTAAATTATATTTTGATTTAATTATATTTTATTATCAAAGTTCTCAAGTGTCCCAATAACTACATAATAATTTATTTTAGGGTAAACTACTTGAATGACCATCTAACTATGAGGTTAATATCGAAATGACCATCATTTTTAAAGTTTCATCAATATGACCACTTAACTAATTAGTTGGGTTCAATATAGTCACATGTCTTTAACATTTAACGGAAGTGCTTATGTGATAGTTAATAAAATTAGTATAATTATACCGTTGATCTTCAGTGTTTATATATTCTATCAATTTAACAGTGATACGTGTCATTACCTGGTTAAAAAGTTCTTTTAATTAAATGAATTTTCTCACATGTCACCACCTACTTAAAGGGAAAACAAACACAAGAAGAATATCAATTGCTACTTAGGGGAATGAACCTAGACCTATGATCAAGGGTAGACACTCAACCACTAAGGCAAACTAAATATTTATTATTTATTTATTTGTCAAAACTTTTATATATCTTGTTTTAATTATACATAAAAAAGAAATAATAATATATTATAATAAATAAATAAATTATAGGATAAACTATTTAAATGACCACCTAAATAATATTCTAATAAATAAAATATTAGTTAATACGAGGTTTAAAAATAAAAATGAGTTTAAAAATTTTATATTTTAAAAATAAATTATTTTTCTTTTTTACAATTATTTTAATCGAGTTTAAATTATATTTTTATTTTTATTTTTTACAATTATTTTAAATGAGTTTAAATATACATTAATTTTTATTGTTTTACAATGTTTGTTTTTAGTTTATCTTTTAAAAATAAAAAATTTAATTTAATTTATTTTCAAGAATTTTTAAATTATTTAAAAATAATTGTAGAAAAGAAAAAATAATTTAATTAATTTATTAATTTTTTTGAATAATTAAAAATATTTATAAAAAATCATTTAATTTATTTATATATAAATTATAAATTATTTATGAGAATATTATTATTTCCTTTTTTAAAACAAGATATATAAAAGTCATGACAAACAAGTTTCAAACATTGAATTTATCTCAGTGATTGAGGCGTGTCCACCCTTTATCCTAGGTGACTATATAACCCAATTAATTAGTTAACTGTCACGTTAGTATTTTTGTCAAATGTTAACGGTAAGTGACTATAATAAATCCAATTAATTAGTTAAGTAGTTATAGTGATAAAATTTTAAAAATAGCGATCATTTCGACACTAATACCATAAGTAGGTGATCATTCAAGTAATTTACCCTTTATTTTATGATTTATATAAAAATAATTTTTATTATTTGAATTGGATCAAACTGGACAGATAATAAGTATCTTGTCGAAGTCTAACTGTGATATAATCTTAGGTACAACCGCACATATTTATAATTTAACAATAAATAAACAATTATTATTAAAACAAAAACCAAAGCTAAAACTTTTAGATGAAAAACTCGTTAATTGACCAAAATAGTTAAAGATAAAATTGTTTTCTTAGAGATTTTAAGTTCGAACAGTTACGTAATGTATATATTATCAATTGGTTAAGAAAATTTTAAACAAATAGTATCTGATAAGCATCTCAAATTATTAAAAAAAATAACTGAAAATATTACAATAATACATGTAAAGAGTATTTTCCATTTAATAAATAGTAAAAATCTCTAATTCCTTTTTATTTCGTTACATATGTTTATTTCGGCATGTTCTTAGGCGACAACCATCGGATGCGATCAAGAGGGTAGAGTCGATTACAGTCGACGGTGCCAGAAGGAGAGGACGACCAAGGCGGAAGTGGGAAGACTGCTTGAGATATGATTTGAAGGATTTAGCCCTTACCGAGGACATGACATCTGATAGGAAAGTATGAAGACTTAAGAGTTAAGACCAGAGTAGTCGAGTAGTACGGGTCACAGACATTGGGTGTAACATCTCTATATTCCTTTTAATGCCTTTGTAATAATTTCCATGACTTCTACTTTATATACGTTTCTGTCATTAGAATTTATATAGGCTTAGAACTAGGGTATCGGAGTATTGTTGTCTTAATTTAGGTTTTAACCCATTTGATTGTATTCCTTCTCCTAGTTTGCTATCGTTGACTTCTGTGTATCATTCTCTTCAGGTTTCCTCTTTTTAAATTTAGCCGAGTCTTACGTTTCTGTCTATATGCAGAGATTTTTACGCAGGGATTTATTTGTAGGGATTACTTCCCATTACAGACGCGCATATGAAGACTGTTTAACTATGTATTTATACATGCATTGCATTTTATCTTTATTTTTAATTTTCTGACCGTTGGAGGTATTCCACAGAAGCTGCTCTCAATCTTGGCGTTGGGGGCAGCCTACTACCCTACCTCCCCCTTACCCCATTGCATATGGGAATAGAGTTTTGTTGTTGTTGTTGTTGTCTGTCTGTCTAACAAAAATAATGATATATTATTCTAATAATCTTTTTACTCTAACAAAACTAGTTTTAAAAATTTTAATAACTAAATAACTTTAAAAATTAATTAATCAACATAATTATAAATGATGATCAAATATCAAATGACTATTTTTATCGTCTTTCTGATTCCTTAAATTTTATTCTAACTAATATGGATCAATTCATGATGTACACTTGATTTTGACGGGAGAACCTTTTAGCGATAATTTTATGCATACACAAGAACTCAAACTTAAAACATACTTGAACAATATCAAACTATTTACTACTTAAACCAACCCTATTAGTATCAAATGACCATCTTTGATTATATATGATGTATACGTTACTTATATAAAATGAACAAATTGATTAGAGAATTAATTTTTCAAACAAAGAAAGTTTTTAGTCAAAATATAATTTAACAAGAGATTATAATATTACAAACTGGTAACAATAATACATAAATTTCTTTGGGTTTTTTTACAAATAAATAAAGTTTTTTTTAAAAGTTTTTTAATAATATTTTTATTATTAAAAAATTTAAAATATTAAAAAAATATAACAATAGACACCTAAAAGTATAACTGAGAAACTGTTAGACACATAATTTAAGCAAAAATTTCTTTAAGCATCAAAACGTTTTTTGAAATATAGTTTAGACACTTGTTTTTATATTAAGCCTTCAAAAGATCCAAGAGCAAGTAAAAAGATGGTTGACGTCTGCGGCTTTTTAAAAGATAAGATAAATTATATTTTTAGTACTTAAATTATTATTTTTTGTTTTGTTTTAATATATAAACTTTATTTTTTTCCAAAGTCATATACAACACTTATTTTATATTTTAATTTGGTATCACACTATTAAAAAATTAATACAATTATTGACGTGATATTTTTTTATATTTTTTAATTATGATATAACATTACATTATGATGGTATGTAAACATCACTGTTAAGTTTTTAATGAAGGAATAACAAATTTAAATCTAAACTAAACGCTATGTATGATTTTGAATAAATAAATTTTGGTTTTAAAATGAAAAGAAACAGTAATTTAGATAAAAACATGTAGTTTATTTTAAAAATATATAGAAAATGTATTTATTATTTAATTTTTTTATTTAAATCAAATTAGGATTAAATTAGTTTCCTAAAGAGATTTATTGATAGATTATTAGTTTCTTAATTAATCATGTGAAAGTGAATTTGGTGCCAATGGCATATGGGAAGCTGTGTCTGTTCTTTGTGCCAGTGCCACATAATCTCTCATTCATTTGATTATCTCCACCGATTACCACGTTCATCCCTTTTCATTTAAATTATCTTTGAGATACAAATTTTAGTCATATCAATGATAAAAGAATTAGGGTGCGTTTGGTTCACGGAATGTAAGATACCGGTGAGAATAAAAGATTACCAGGGAATATGATTACTGTAAATGTTATATTTTGTGTTTGGTTGGTTTAGCATAAATGTAAGATTATTAGAATGTATATTTGATCAAATTGTCCTTATTATATATTTGTATAATATTACAAGTTGAAAAATATTTATATATTTTCTTTAAAAAAATTAAATTCATAAAATTTATATAATTCTTTTACAAAATTAAAAATATAAAAAAGGTTTAATGAAAGGGTAAAATTTTATTTTAACCCCTGAACTTCATATAAAATTTTAATTATAGATTTTTTTTTGTAAATCTAAAATAGTTTAAGGATAAATTTGTAATTTAACATTTGTAGATTTTTTATTATTCAGACAGAAGAATGATATTTTTGAAAAAAAATTAAGGACATTTTATTCCAAAACGCCGGTAATGTTACAATACTTAAGGAAAGGGAGGTAATGACATTCCCGGTAATATACTCAAAAAAATTCACTATTGGTAATAAAACATTACCGGGAATGATATTCCCGGCCAAACCAAACGGGGAATGTAGATTTCATTTCTAGAGGAATCCCACATTCCTCCATCCAAACGACCCCTTATTGTTATTTCGTTTGAATAATTTAATTCTGATCTTAAATTAAATTCATATTTTATAAAGAAATCGAACTTAAAACCTCAAATGTTTGGAATTAAATTAATTCAAGAATAACACAGTAATTTATGTATGGTGTACAAGAATGTCTGGCATTACATTTGCACAGAACCGCGACGTCATACATCTTTATAACCTTAAACAATCCAAATGAATACTAGGAGAAGAAATCACAAACATATCATCTGATAGTTATTGTTTATAATGTCACTATTTCCCTCGTCAGCGCTTTTCATCCAACGAATAAGTTGAAAGATTCTTATGATGTTGATAGCTTATTCACCATATCTGCTCCCTGCCCCTTGTTTCCGGATCGGATTCGGAGTCAGTGTTATCTTCTTTGTACTTGTACCATGAAGCACAGAGCAGATAGACAATGAAGTTAAGTGTGCTAAGAACAGCTAGGAACCAATAGAAGAGGTTCAAATTATTGGCATCCAAGTTATCACCCTGTACCCACCCTTCCTTGCTCGGGGCAATGTTGTTGGTGACCGCGTTTATAACGTCAACAAAGGCGCTGCTCAAGAAGTACCCGAACGATAGTGATAGCCATGCAAACGACGTAGATAGTGATTTCATCCTCGACGGAGCTTCCTTGTAGAAGAACTCCATTAGTCCTACCATGGAGAACATGTCTGCTAGGCCAAATATTCCATATTGGAAGGATAGCCAGAATAGACTAATAGGTTTCAATGGATCTTTTATGGCCTGATCCCTCCTCTTAACTTCGATTATGCCGGCCACGCCCATTGATATGATAGAGAGGACAAGACCAACACCTACTCGTTGAAGCTGTGTGATGCCTGAAGGATGCCCGGTGATTTTTCGAGCGAAAGGGACAACAAGAAACTCATAAATTGGTATTAAGAATGCCATGAAAACTAGAGGAATAACTGGTATTGACGCCGAAGGGAATTTTTTCCCGAAAATATCGGAATCCATTAAGGTCCCTTGGTGCACCGAGAATGTTTGCAATTGTGCCAAGCATGTGTTCATTATAATGGTACTGGCTAAGATGGGCAACATCCTTGTTAAAATCTTGACTTCCTCAACTTGTGTCACTGTGCAAACTTTCCAAGGCTCTGGAGAAATCAACTGAGGGTCAATGGCAGCCTTGTCTAGTAATCTGGTTTAGTCATTTATTAGCATAAAATGTATTAGATTACTCAAAAGAAGAGTATTTGATTGTTTATTTTTTCAGTTTCCATGATAGAATAGCAAGTTCATGGTGTTTCACCTGAACTGATTTGTATGAGGGAGTTTTTCATCATACTGATGTTCGTCGTCATCGTTGCTCTCAAAAAGTTCATCCGAGTTTTCCGGTAATTGCAATTGTCTGTTCTTGACTGCTACAACTATAACCTGAAGGATCAAACAATTGATTCTTGTATCAGGACTCACATAAAAAGAACATGCAATATATTTAAGCACAACAGAGAGAGAGGAAACCTGTGCTATTCTCAGTAGAGGGCTGTTCCCAAGCGGTGGATAGTGATAAAAGGGCTTCCCAAGGCCAATTGCAATGAATCCAACAATGGCAGCCATAGTTCCCATGAAGAAACCCCAGTACCAAGCTTCGTTTATACTAACCCAAACAACGAACGAGACCCCGATCATAGCTCCAAAAGTGGTGCTCAACATGTACCAATTGAAATAGCTTCCAAGCTGCTTTGCTTCTTTTGGATCCTTGTGATCAAACTGGTCAGCACCAAGTGCTGGAAGTGCTCCCTTAACTCCGCCTGTACCGATGGCTAATATCGAAAGGGAGCTGTAGAACATCACTGCTGCTTTACCTTTGACACAACCTTTCTGGCAAGTAATATCCGGTTGCAGGTCTTTCGAATAAGCCTGGATGGTCACCATTGACAGACCCTGCAACCAAATTAAAAGCATTGATTTGTTGAACCAAATTGAGGAAATAAACTAAACACATCAAGTGCTTGAATTTCCGTTTGCCAGTGAAAACTTACTATGACTTCCAATGATCCGAATATCAAAATCGTATAGAGTCGGTTCAAGTAAGTGTCTGAAATGAAGCCTCCAAATAGTGAAAGCAAGCAGACTGATCCCAAGAAGTTTGTGAGAGTATTTGAAGAAGTTGGAATATCAAGTCTCAACAAGTAATGGAAATATAGAACCATGCTAACCATGTTAGCAACAAACCCAATGTTCTCAAGTGCTCCAAGAACTACAAAATCAAAAGGAAAAAAACACATGAATGAGTTCATCATTTGATTACTTCCTTATCAAGTTAATATTGTAAAACGAAATCTGGGATATGCATTTTAAGACCATTTCTTACCAAAAACAAAGAAAGAAGCTCTGAATCCACCTTTCTTTCCACCCTGAATTTAAAAACATAATAAAAAAGAGGCAATGCTTAGTATTGAGGGAATGTTGATGGAACCAAAAGGAAGAAAAAAAGAGTTGGAATTACCATTTTTGAGGCTCGAGACTCGAGAGAGAAGTGATTGTGAAGTGGATGGATGTTGCTTTGATGAGGTCAAGGCATGGGGGCTGGTGTTTATAAAGGGAATGGCAAGAGATTCTAGCCCTCGTCTTTATTCTTGAAGCCTAAGACTGCATGGAAAGTCATATTCCTCATTTTGGAAACAAAGCCGAATTCTTCACTTGTATCTGTGCTTGCTTCTGCTATTATTCCATAATTTAAATCTTTGTTTTTTTTACGTCAACATTCTTATTCGATATGTACGGAAACAATATTTTATGTTAAGGGTCGAATTTATAAAAATTTAAGAGGGATAAACTTATAAAAGTTTAAAGAACCAAAATATATATTATCAATAAAAATATAAAAAAATATTTAAATTATATTAGAATTTAAAATTTTCAGAGAACGACCGGCCATCCATCCATACGTATACTTGAGTATAAAGAGGTTGGATATATGCGATGCTTTAATCGAATCCGAACAAAATAACTATATATATTATTGATTGCTTAGCTTGTGGACAATGAAAGAGATGTACAATCATGGGAATATCTGCCTTCCATCAAGCTTATATTATTTATAGGTCAATGATAAAACCCTTGAATTAGGTTATTTTCATCATTTTAAATGCCGAAAGGGACAAGATATTAGAGTTATGTAGTCATTATTTATTTATTTTGGTTTGAAGAATGACACCCGTAAAGCTTTAATATATATTAGCAAAATCACTTCAAAATTTAATAAAAAAACTAGAAATTTTAATATGATACGAGGAATAAAACTCGTGTTCTTGCATTAATCCCTATGTCATTGAGGGAGCTGTTTTTTGTCATTTTGAATACAAAAGTAATATGAGTTGGAGTCTACAAAAGAAGCTGCTACTCTATTTCATTATGTGGCAGATTTAATGCAAGACTTTACATAGGATGAGTTTCTTCAGATAAATGAGCATGTTCTGCCAATAATCCAGGCAACAGCATTCTAGTGACACACTATTTAACTTCACCACAATGTTTGTTGTTTGGTCTTTTCTTGCACTAACTCCGGCTTCCATTGATCCTTCACCCGATGGAGCGTTTTGTGTCCTCCGAGTGCCTGACCCATTGCAAAAGTCTTGCCACATATCTCACATTGGTGCACTCTTTTCACCACCGTAGCTTCCTTCATTGATCTTCTTCCATGCTCGGTCCTGGATTTTTTGGGCTTGTTACCGTAGCTTGTGGTCTCACTATCAGCACCTCCCTCCATTGAGGTATCTTGATAGGCCAGGCTCTCTTCAGTCTTCTTCTTGATAGACCAGCAGGGATTGTCTTTCAGCAAATCTATGTTGTTGTCATTACTTGGAGAGACCTTGCTCTCAATCCCTAGTTTGAGAGTGGTCTCAGCTTCCCTCAAAGAATTGTTATTGTTTTCTTGAGACGCTGCAGGTCTTTGCTGAACACTGTTGGAAACGGTACCACGATGGATTCTCATATGCCGCCACAGCAACTGCATCGACGAGAAACTTTCGTCGCAAACGAAACAAGCGAAACCATCATCTTCATCCTCTTCGAGAGAGCGTTTTCTTTCACGTTTCGGACTGTTGATGTGGAGAATTTCAGTTTTCGACCTATCCTGACGGTGGATTCGAAGATGGCCATACAAGGCCTTGATCGACTGGAACCCTTTACGGTAGTAGCGACAGAATCTAATTGTTGAATCTTGCGCGGATTACTCACCTCTCTCCATGACCGATTTTTTTGTGTTAACTCTCTACGTTAATATTTTGTGGTAGAAGAAGATAAATCCCTAGTTGTGTAGCACTAGGAGATTATATCTTGAGTGAAATTTAAAGAAACTTGATTAGCAAGTAACTTTAATTAAGTACTATATTTTTTGGAATGGATCATATGTGCATTAGAGGTTTTATTATTTGTTTACCAATCACTTATATTCAAATACTCATAGAATAAATATAGTTTAACCTAAAGTTCAAATGCAGAAGAAATAAAATATCTTCTACGATAAACTATATATTTATCCTCCACCTATTTCTGCGGGTCTGTGTTGGTCGCCAAACTATTTTTGCTTCAAAATCATACATAACATTATGTTTTGGTCACCTGTTAAAAAATAGATAAAACACGTCAACATTACCATTAAGTTTTTAACGATGAGTAACCAAAACATAACTTTAGATATAATTATTTTAAAAAAAATAGTTGAGGTAATCAAAATGAAACCGTCGTAATAGATAAATGACTAAATATATAGTTTACTACACAACGGGGTTCATATCTAATCTTATAAAATCTTATACTTTGGCTAGCGTCAATCACATGGTAGTTTCCATAGGTGCACCAACAAATATCCACATTGCTTAATGGGGCATCATGGCTTGATACAGCAGTTAATGCAGTTCAAGAACCAGTTTTTCTTCTGCATAAATATTGCAGTAAGATTAAAACAAGGATTTTTATGTACGAAATGAAAATGACATATATATATATATACCGTCGTAACGGGAACTTCGGGGTCTTGGACAGAGTTGGGTTCGTGTTTTCGAGGCGATGAAGCTACAACGAAGTCGTGGTCGTTGGCGAGGCTACACATAACATCACTCTTACATTGCTTCCTTTTGTCACGAGCTCGAGAGAACACCATTGAATAACTGGTGGCTCCTTTCTCATCCCACCCTCCGAATCGAGGAATGGACATCCCTTCATTGTTCTGTTAAATCCCAAACAGCTTCGTATATTTACTCTCACGAATACAGTTTTTCAATAGAATCTTGTTAACGTTTCAGAGAGAAAACCAAGCATTACACATGTCATGAAATAAAAACATTGCATGGAGTTATGAGAGTTTAGAGATTACCTCTGTCGGACGAGACATGGTGGTAAAGTACCGGAGATGGATGATGGAATGATTAAGAGGCTAATTGCTCAGTTGATTATTGAATTTTCCAATTAGCAGGTGTTTATGTTATTGTTGAGAGAGATAAATGTGGGGTTTGTTTCGGATTCGTTGAATAGAACAAAGTTAGGTTATGTAGACTGTTTATTACAACATTTGGTAGCAAGTGCTTGGTCTTTCAAACTAAAAACCATTTTCAGTTCTGTTTCCAGTTTCAGCTGATTTAGAAAGTATTCGGACGAGGTTAGGTCGGCCTATTTCTTTTGTTTAAATTATAGTACCCGACCAAAACTTTTAAAATTAAATTTATTACAATAACTAGTAAATATTTCTATATAATTTATAGGGGTTGGGTGGGTGTATTATATATTAAGGCGATAACTTAAATTCGAACCTTAAAATTAATAATATTATTGAGAAGGATAATAACGAACTTTTAACATGGACATGAAAAATATAGAATATGTAAAAACTATTTTTTTAAAAGACGCAACTAATTATACGGCATGATTTAAATAAAATAGATAAATGTTGGTGTGATGTCATAATTTCATAAATTTCTAAAGAAATTTATCTTAATTTAATTAATATAATTATTATTATAAGTAAAATCTAACATGGTTTAATTTTAAATTTATCTTAACATACATCATCTTATTCAAAGATTGTATAAAAGTGTTACAGATACAAAAATTATAGAACAACTAATTATTTTATAATTTATTTTCTTAAATATACGATCTTAGAAAAACTCATGACAGATTATAAAAAAAAATAATTTTATTAATATATATTTTTCAAAATTTTGGAAAAAATCAAGTTAACATTGATTTAAGGATGAGTCTAGAGCGCACGTCGCACATAAAAAATACACCATTAATGCGACACATCAATACACACCACTAAATATATTGTACTTATTAAATAAATATAAAAAATACAATGATAGATCTACAATTAATCATTTATTATTATCTAGTTTAAATTTTAATAGGAGTATAATTAAATTATAATTTTTTTATTAAAAATATAATTATTTTATAATTTTTTAATAGAAGCCGTTAATTTTACTAAAAATATAAAATATCAAAATTATAATGAAAATTTACAACCATAATTATAAACTAAACACTTAATAATCCCTTTTCACCAAAAAAGATATTTTCCTAAGCAGAAGAAAACTAGTCACTTAAGATCACGCAAGGACCACATAAAGAAAAGGTTGAAAACCTAACTAAATAAACTCGAACAAAAAGTAGATATAACATATCTGACTGTATTGATAAATGAACCACAAATGAGGATGAAACTATTGAAAGACCATTGACAAATCACAAATCAGAATCAAGAGGGTCCAAAGTAGGGAAGATCCTCACTATAACAAATAAATGTCAGTCATGTCGATGTTAAATCCAATCCTGAAAAAAAAAGAATAAACGAAGTTAACGACTAAACAACTGAAAACGTACCATAAAGGTAAAGAAAAACGTGTCATAAAGATAAAATGAGACATGTCATAAAAACATAATTATTAAAAAATAAAATCGTGTAATAGTGAAAAAACTAAAATATTATAGGTACCGATAAATAATTAAATAAATTAAGATGAAATCGTCATCCATGGTTCCATTGAGGGCTTTCCCCTCAATAAAAACAATTCATTCAACAGTTGCATTAGCAACTTGTGAACTTACAAAACTGAAAACAACAAAACCAACCCAAAAACAAAAACAACTCATCGGCCAAATCTGAAAATTAGAAGATAAAAAATTATTGGATAATTGTCAGTAAAATAAATAATATTAAAAATAAGAACATTGATTATGAAGAACATTAAAATGACACAAACAATAAAATATATAAAAAATAACAACACTATAATATCGAAATTACATATATTTACAACTAATATATTTTTTTTTGGTGGACGTAATACATTATTTGAGGATATGATCGTTAACGTTTGGTTTTGATGGTTGTTACTGATATGAATATATAAATTTATATAAATTAAGTGTTCTAATCTTAAAATATAAAAAATCCTAAAATAATTATAATCATTAATAAAAAAATATAATTTAATTATATTCCTATTAAAATTGAACTAGATAATAATAAAGGATTAATTATGGATAGATCATTATATTTTTTATATTTATTTAATAAGGATAATTAATTAATAGTATGCATCGATGTGTCAAATTAGTGGTGCGTTTCAGTGTACGACGTCCATTGTACAATTTTTCTTGATTTAAAAGCATTTTCCAACCCGAAAATAAATCAATAGGTTCATGCGAAAATAAACAAGGGTAAAGTATTCAAAAGGTCTACATGATTTGTTGAATCTCCTGACTATTAAAAGTTACGAAATTGTCCTTTAACTATAGTGTATTACTTTATTGAGTCCCTCAACTATTAAAAGTTACAAAATGGTTACCCGAATATTCATATGTTCCTAACTCGTCTTAATCTGTTAAAAATTGACGGTATCTAAGCTGAGCGTTAACTTATTGACTGTGATATAATAAAATTTGATCCCAAAATCTCAAACGATTATCATATCTCAGTCAACAGGTTAACATCTAGCTCAATTTGTCATCATTTTTAATGCAAAATGACAAGTTTAGAACATATGAATAGTTGAGTGACCATTTTGTAACTTTTAACAATCGATGGACTAAAAAAAGCAACGCCCTATAGTTGAGGGATCATTTTGTAACTTTTAATAGTCAGAGGATTTCATAAAGCAACACCTTATACTTGAGGGAACATTTTTATACTTTACCCATTAAGTAATTCATTTAATTTCGAATATAAATAATAAACAAATATTAAATAGATAGAACACATTGTATTGATTTAATTAATAGTCTTATTTTAATTAGTAAAGTATACTTTTTAAATTTGAACCAAACATAAATTTAACTTGATATGAACTTAGATAAAAAAAAAAGAATTTAAATCGTGGTTTGATGATGACAACTCTGCCATAAATAGAGTATAAATGCATAATTAAAAGGTAAGTGAAAAAAAATGTATATAAGACATAATTTAAATAAAATATTATAAAGATGATAAGTTTGAATTGGATAGAATTAAAAGGTAAATGAAGAACGTATATATGGTAATAATTTAAATAATTTTACTTACAAAAAGTAACAGAAAATGAATATTGCAAATAAATTTTACTTGGAGTAAGTATACTAATAAATACTAGGGTAAATTAACTATTTGAACCTCACTTATTCTTGCATTCTTTATTTTAATCACCTAATTATTTTTCTTTAAAATTATACATAATGTTATATATTTTTTTATTTTAATATTCTATTATTAAAAATTAATAGTGATGATAACATGATATATTTACTTTTTTATTTTTCATATTATCTTTTCTCTCCTAATCAATAGTTCACATGTTATTTTTTAATGACTTTATTCAAATCAACAAGGTAGTAAAAAAATAATTGAATGACCAAAATAGAAACACATAAATAGTTGTGGTATGAAACAGAAAATTTATCCTAAATACTATAAGAAGTGTTGTATTTACAAGGAATTTTGTATTTTAAATGTATGTGATGAAAAGAAATAAATTGAGAAAAATAAAAGAAGGAAAAAGAGGAGGCGGAGGGGGTTCCGTTATAAACAATTGAATTTTGGTTATTATGAAATCTGGAATTTCCCTTTTTTTCTGTTGTAAATAAATGAAATTTCACGAAACAAAACCCTAATTTCATCGATTCAGTTTGGGCCTCAAAAATACATCTCCCCCCCCCCCTTTTATCTATTCGCATCCAACTCTCTCATCCTTCGACCTCCATCGTTCGATCCATCTTCCCCTTGCATTCAACCCAGGTATCTCCATTCTTTTCATTCCCCTCTTTCATTTCTGCCTTTTTCTTCTTTCTTTTTTAAAAACTTTTTTATTTCAGTAATTCCTTTTAGGATTTTTGTGTGTGTGATTGATCATGTCGGTGGATCCTTTTCTATGTATATTTAAAATTTCTATAGAATCTGCATTGTTCCGTCGAAAGAATCGTGATTTTCTTCCGGTTTAGGGTTGTTTTGGTGATTTCTCGATTGAATTGGCGTCTTGGAATGATTTTTCTTGGATTAAGGAAAATAGTCTCGGTTGAAATATGCTGTCTAGATGTATGCATTATTATTCAGGGAATTAGAATACACAATTTTATATCTTCTCTTTTAACCTGAATTTCGGGCTTTTCAGAAATATTTTTTTCAAAAGCTGGAGGCGTCGGTTACAGTCTCTTTTCTGGTAAATTTGGCTTCTTCGAAGAATTGGATTCTGTGTTATTGAAATCCAGAAAACACGGGGTGTTAGTCTGCACTTTATCTATGAATTCTTTCAAGTTTGGGTGGATTTTAACTTACCCCTTGTGAAAACAATATTTTCTTCTTTTCTCCCCCTTTTTGGATTAGAGAATTATTCTATGTGTTTATACCATTGAGCATGAATGAGGATCAAATTTATTTGCTTTTCTTTTGTAAATTTTTTTAAAAAGTGGAAGAAAAAGAGTTTCAGAAGCTAAATTTGCCTTCCAAAGTTTTGTTCTCCTGTTTCTTGTCTATCAAATATTAGTGTTTTACCACCTTTGATTATGGCTTAAAATTTATGTGTCTGTGAATGGAGAGTCCCAATGCATATTAGTGTTTTCCTAAATGGAGATCATATTATGCCAAAACAATAATTTTTAAATTTCGTATGGAAGATCAAAGACAAAAAATTCCCGTCATAGCAAACACACACACAAATATGCATATTGCTGAAACTTTGTGTTATGATGGGAGTAACCTATTGCATAAGTTGGAGCGATTGCCAGAATGCATTCCTAAGAAGAAACCATGTCTGTAAGGGTTTTCTGAAAGTCTTTGCTATTGTTATTTCACTCTAAATCGTTCCTTGATTATAAAATTTTAATTATTGTAATGTTCAGTGAAGGGAATTTTTCTCGAGGAGATTTTGTTGGGAGTTTGATGCACCGTTAATATGGTGTACTTTCATTGATACCCTGCTAATATTTCCTGTGAAGGAATTGTGCACATTGAGTAGGAAACATGTTCACTCGGTGTGTAGTTCTCAAGTTTTATTTTGACATGCCTTCTTTAACTTAATACTGGTTATAAACTTGTGGTCTACGCACAAGACGATAAATTTCAGTCATATCAGGCTAGGGTCCTTGAATCAATTTACTTGTTTTAGCTTTTGGATTTTGCCGCTTTTTTGTCCATGAAAACTATCTGGGTTTGTTTATTTGATAAAAAATTGTGAGAATTAAACTCAGAATGAGATAACTACTGCTCTTGCTGTTTATTGACTGCTTAAATCTTCCATACATCTTTGATTTTGTAAACTATTATCTTGAACCTTTCAGGACTTTATTTGGCTACAACAATGTCTCCTGCATCCAAGTCCAAGTCGAAAGATAAAAAATCCAGCAAGGAATCTCAGAAGGCTTCTTCAAAGCCTTCTGGACCTGCTAATGCTGTTAGTGGTGTTCCAGCCAGTGCATATAATCCACTTCTGGGAACATTCCATACCATTGAAACAGTGCCATCATCGTCTGCTTCACCTCTTCAAAGCAATGGGCGTTTCCGGAACATTGATGAAACAGATGAGCATTTGGGGGGCTCACTTGGAGCAGCGGTTGAGTATGATTCCATATCTAATAATGGTAGCTGGTCAGGTGAGTCGGAAGAGCACAAAGAGAAAACATCAAATCTTCCTGTCCGACAGGAAATAATACCGGGAGCTGACAATGATAAGCGAGAAAAAATCCGTCAAAAGAATGAGAAGAAACATCAACGTCAGAAGGAGAGGCGAGCACAGGAGTTGCATGAGCGGTGCAGTGGCTATCTCATGTCGAGAAAGCTTGAAGCACTTGCTCAGCAGCTTGTAGCAATGGGATTTTCACATGATCGGGCTACAATGGCTCTTATTTGCAATGAAGGCAAAGTGGAGGAATCTGTGGCATGGCTTCTTGAAGGAAGTGAAGAAGCAGTTAAGCATAAGGAATCAACTATTGATGGTGGAAACTTGAAAATTGACATATCAGAAGAGCTTGCACGAATTGCTGACATGGAAATCAGGTACACGTCCACAAAGCAGGAGGTTGAAAGAGCAGTTGTTGCTGCTGAAGGTGATCTTGAGAAAGCAGCAGAATCCTTAAGATCTTTAAAGGAGGATCCACCTGCTCCACCAAAGCCAGAAGAAATTTGTGATCAACCGACTGCTAGTACCAATAAGGTGTCAGTTGCAGGTAGTCAGAACATATCCTTAAGGCCACAATCAAAACCAAATCTATCTACTGCAACACAACAAAGAAGGGACGAGAAAGATTTTAACTATGCAAAAGCACCAGTTACAGTGGTAAGTTCTTCAGATTTAATGAGTAAAACTTTTCAGCCATTGAAGAGAATACAACCGAAGTTGGAATGGGCAAAACCCCAACAAACTGCAGTACCAGCAGAGAAAAGTTGGCCAAGTTCTGGATCAAATCCTCCTGTTTCCTACTCCTTGGCATCACCTTTGCAGGCCTCACCACCAGCAAAGACAGAAAGTCATAATGTGGCTGTTGGAAGTGATTTTAAGAAATTTCAGCCCTCAATTAGGGAACCAGTTATAATGATGCAGCGACCTCAATCTGTAAATACAAAGCAGGTTCCAGCTACTAGTATAAGCTCATCTCCTCCTGGATCAACCCCCTTTATGTATCCGGCGAGTAGCGTTGAAATCTCAAAGTCTAATGGGTTGTTGCCCTATATTGCAACTGCTAGAAGCCTTAGTTCCAACAACTTGAGTTCGAATCAGATGCATCATCAGCTTTACCATCCACCGCAGCAGCACTTGCCAGGCAGCAGTAGTCCAGGAGATTCTCCAGGTACTAGTCGTGGAAATGGTTTATGGAGTAGAACAGGTGCGTCACCAACATTATCTGCTGCATCTTCACTTGGACTTTTCGCTGGACCAGGTTCTACGACGTCATCAGGAGCCACTTCTCCAGTTGACTGGAGCAGTGGTAGCTCCATGGCACAGTTGGATTATACCAATATTGATTGGAGCTTGGATCGGGGGTTGTCTTCTTCTCCAAGACCTGGTGGAATTTGGCTAGGATCGACATCTCCGTTGAAGAGCACTCACATATATTATCCTAATACAAGTGGACTAAGTGCGAAACCTGCAATGAGATTGACATCCAGTGGTGGTGGTTTGCCGATTGCAGGTTTGCAGGATGTAGTGGCTCCTACAGAAGCTTCTCCAACTGCAGGCTCTCATGAGTGGACTTCGCCATTTGAAGGGAAAGATCTTTTTAGCCTACCCAGGCAATATGTTTCATCTCCCACACTGTAGGGCGAGGAAAATATTTTATGAAATAAAAATGAAAGAATGAAAAGACATGTTTGGATTTGGTGTTGTGATATGCTAATATGTTGCTTGCCGTTGAATATCCATCATTTTATAGTATAAAAAATTGAAAACATCTCCTTATTTGCATTATCCAGTCGGTTTTAGAAAGGGATTGAGTAGCAACTTTCCCAAATGGCAAAATTAGCACCCAAATCATATATTAGCATATTACATCAAATTAGCAAATAGTCAATGGATCTGGGCATTGAAATTTAACGAGGTGATGTACGCAATATTATACCTCCGAGACAGCTGCAGTAACATGTTTATGAGATGGCAGAGGAGGTTTCTGCAAATAATACTAGGAGACTCATGTAAGGCATCAAATAATACAAGGATATTCATGTAAGGCATCGCATCTTTCATTCCACGATTGCCAATTTTACTTCCACTGAGAATAAAAGCTTATTTGTAAACTCAATCATCTATACATTACCTGCAAACTTCAACCCGTACATGAAACATCAGGCAAACTCGAAGATGGCGTAGAGTGGCAAGGAAGACCAACTGGAAGCAAATCTCTAGGAACTTTACATTGATCATTTAACAATAAATTCTGAAGCCTTTCTTTTATAGGAGAAAGTGCATCACAATGGGTCAGAACATCCAATGAATGTACCACTCCTTTCTGGACAAGTGTATTAAAAGCTGACGAAACACCCCAGACTATAATATGTTTACGGTCCAAATCATAGTTGTCCACAAGAAGAAGTAAAAACTCAAGGAGTGAGTGAGTGAAGTTGATATATTTAGGCAAGAAGCATACCATCAACAGAATTGCAGGCTCAATATTCATAATATTGTCCACTTTTTCATTGAAAAAAAGCCAGTCAAAAAACAATGCCAACCTCCCATTAGCTTCAATATATTTCTTCTTGCAACATGTTAGTAGCCAACCAATAACAGCCCATCTAGGAATAACATTTGAATGAAGAATTTCATTTGACGGGTGGTGCGCACAACATATGAACCACACAATATCAACAATAAGACTCTCTCTCTCTGGCCCTAAAAGAAATTTCTTTTCAAACCAGATCTGATATCGTTTCTGGCTACCAAGCATCACATTGTGTTTCCATTTCGGGAGTGATCTGCAGTAGAAAATAACGACTTGAAGTCCTTGTGCAATACAACTGAGAAATATCCAAATACTCGGGAGTTCTAAACTCACTAGGATTCAGAACTAGATCTTTCCATATAGTTTTAAACTCAGGTACATGAAATAGATCTTGTAATAATCGAACAAGATCCCTCCCTATCTTCAAACAAAGCTGAAATTGATCCCTCAACATTTTGACACAAAACTCAATCTCCAACTGCCTCAACATCTCTAGTTTTGGATTACTCATTACCCTACAATGCTCAGCTAATACACGAAGAAATGTATATAATGCACTAGTCAAAACTACAGGCTTTTCTTGTAACAAACAATCCCATTTACTTAACAAAGACTCACTAGCTCGAAACATAACCAAAGATTCCCATCACTGAAATCACCACCAACAATTTGCCTCAATAAACAGACTAACAAACTATCAATTCCTATAGCGGAAACATCAATCATTTCTTTAGTAACCCAAATCAACTGTTCCTTAACCGAGTCAAAAAGTTTTCCATACAATTCATTAACAATTCCAACAAGTAAACTTATAAACAAATTATACCCATCAATGACGATAGCATGTAAGTGCTTAATATGAAATCTTGAGACATAGGGTTCGATTAGAACACCATAAAGAATAGCTTGATTAAGTTGAGTGTATTCTTGAGGGATTGGGATTGCTAACGAAAATGGAGGTCTCAGTTTCAATTCGAGAAGGTCAAAAGCTTGCCTTAGAGAGAGTTCTAGCTGATTTTGAGCTTCAATGGATGCGACTCTAATCAGTTTCGAAGCCATAGAGAGTAGTTTTCATCACCTCATCGCCCTACCACCGGGATCCTCTGTTAAATACCCAAGTGGGCTTTTGCCGCTGCTTAAGAGCTACACCAGGAGGTTCCGATAGATTTAACTATACTTGTAAAGATTTCTGCTTTCCTTAAACGAGAGACTGAGGGAAAGGAAGAGACACTTGACCGCTATGAAGCACGGACTCGCCGGAGAGTCCGACACTGGCACGTCGGAATACGTGCAGGATATGTCGGCAGACGGGAAAAATAACAAAATGGATACGGTCAAAATGAGTTTTGATAGATGTTTGTAAATATTTATGGTTGTCAATCGAAGCAGCGGCTGAAGAAAAACAAAACAGTGGCCGGAAGAAAGAAGAAAGAAGAAAGAAGAGCAACATAATCAAGTATTTGGTCTTTGATCTCATAAGTAATTAAAAGGGTTTGGGCCCAAAACTAACTGAAGTTTTGTTAACTAAATGATGGTATAACTAATTAAATCAAGGGTAAACTACATATTTATTACCTAAACTATTACTTTTATTCTATTTTGATACCTAAACTTTAATTTTTTTTAAATCATATCTAACGTCTAGTTTATTTTTCAATTTTATATCCCCGTTAAAAAAGTAACAAAACTATTGATGTGATATTTTTTGATATTTTTTAATGATAACATGACATTACCTTATGATGATACATTGACATCATTGTTAAATTTTCAACGGCAGGGGAACCAAATTGAACCCAAACTAAATGTTAGATGTTATTTTGAAAAAAAAAAGTTTAAATATTAAAACAGAGCAAAAGTGATAATTTAAGTATTAAACGTATTATTTACCCATAAATAAATATTTTGTATTTTCATGTATGTTTCCATGCTTCTCTCCTCTTTTAATAGAAAAGTCTTGAAGCCCGTAAACAAACTATTATATTATGTGAAAATATAAAGAATCAGAAAGATTTTTTTTACCACTTAAAAATAATTTAAGTAGCAATAGAATTATCTATTTTTATTAAAACACAATTTTTTCATTTTAAAAAATCTCCATATAATTTTAAAATTTGACACCCATAATAATAAATTTTCTGACTCCGCCTCAATAGACTTATCTATTTTTATTGAACTATCTATCATCACATTTGTTTCAAGTTTTATGAATTTGGTCGCAGTCACATACTAAAAAAATGAGATTCAGTGTCACTAAAAATGAGAGTACGTGTTCAATGAATGCTCTTCAGACAAATTTTTGCACGTGACTGAAATTCCAGCCTTCCGATGATAAATTCATAGCAAAACTTGCACAGCGTCCTTGAGCTGCATGATAAATAAATAGACTCATCGCCTTTTGAGAAATAAACATGGACCTGACCTAATCTTTTTAATTGCTATGAAATAAACATTATGATTGGTGAAAATCGATGAGAAATTGTGTAAAATTAAATTAATCTTCATTATTTCTTGCTTAATTCCAAAATCTGTCACAAAGTAGTAGAACAAGGTTATAGCCAAGATTGACCTTAAAACTGAACACTATATCCTTCTGTCTAAATTAAACACTTATCCTTCCCAGGCTAAATTCAAATGGTCTCTCTGCTTCTCTTCTAACTCATTCAACCTTCTTGCTAGATTCGTCACCGCTGCTACCGTCTTGAGACGAAACCGCAGTCTTTGACTCGTCAAACTCCATTAACTGCAAATCATATTAGCCATCATAATGTGATCCGAATATAGATGGGAATCAGTTTGTGCTCAAATTCAAACCTGAATAGTGGAAACCTCTACGTACCGTAACTAAAGAACATTACACGCATGAGAAACTGACATGATCCCTGGAATAATGTTTCTACCCCTTTAACCAATTTATAAGTATTATTTAGAATGCCAATTAATACATTCTGGTGGCTCCATGGATATGATTATTTACCATGAACATTAACCTGATTCTCTAATGCAAAATCCTACGAGTTCTATGGCAAGAAGCAGTTGACAACTGTACTTGTTGCTTCTCCTTGGGAAACGGAACAATAACAATCATTTCTTTACAATTGAAAAAGAAATTGAATTGAAAAGTTCGTGCCAAGAACATAATGCCAGAGAGAATCAATCAAGGGTGGAGGACAAACCGGTTTGACTTCTCCATTCCAAATACAGTGAGCAGCTAAGAATCCAATAACGGCCGGTACGATATACAAAAGTGCAGGCTGAAAAGCACAATATTCAAAGCAGATTATCACGTTCTTGTGATAAGAGAGAGTGAGTGTATACCCACAGGATCAAACTTTCACTCAATACATCTGTGCGCGCATTAGCAAGAAGAGATGATAAAACAAAGCTCGATGAATAATTTACCTGTGCAGCTTGAAACCAGTTCATTACAATAATTGTAAGAACCACTCCAACTGTGTATCCCAAAAAAGCACTCTTAAAATACTGGCTCTCTTTCCCTCTGGACACATCAAATCTTAACGCTAGTGCTACAAAAATGCCTGCAAGGGAGAAACAAACCAATATAAAAACAGAAAATAATTGATTATACAGTAGCTGTTTCTCATAGTAATGTGCATAATGCAATGAGAAGATTTTAATGTTAAAAGGGATAATAGTCGATCAAAATGAAATTAAAAGAAAAAAAAACATTTTCAGCCAAGTAAATTTAGATTTACCAATAATTGTGTCATTACTAAAACTCATAAAATAAACAGTCAAGAATCAATAGCATTCTGAGAACACCAGCAGCTGATAATTTCACTGCACATAAAAATTTGCATTCTGTCCAGAGAGCAATGATGATGAAGCCATCGGCTTAAAACAACTTCATAATCAAACAACAGAAATCCAATGAGCTTACAGCAGTAAATGAGATCATACTCTACAAACAGAATGCTGTATGAAACAGAACTCAAGCATATAACCTATGAATTTCTAAGGCTATGTAACAGACTCTGTCTGAAGTTAAATGATTGGTAGGCTTAAAATTTCAATGCAAATGAAATGAAATAAAGAGTTGCCAAGACAAATACATCAGACCTCTAGGTATAGAAAAAAAAACACAGCAAGGAAAGTCGTTTAGACATTTCCTGTTTCAAAATTCAAGATCTCAGAATACTTTTTCTTTGATAAGAAAACAAGATACACTAAACAAAAGCTCAGGTCATAACAGCAGCATGCATTACACCTACCAACAAAAACCAGATATTAAACATACCAGGAATTACAATGTCACCAAGTCCGAGCATGGAAAATGGTCGAGCAGAGTTTCCTGTTGGGAACAAAAGCTGCAGAAAAGTACTTGAAAGAAATCTGATCACCATGGGTAACAAATTTAATAATACATTGAAAATATAAAGTACATACATTGAAACAAAAGAAAACCATGCCAAGTATTTCAAATTGAAAAAAAAATAACGGACCTTTATAGGAGCATCAAAAGACTTTGCAACACTGACCATCACAGGAGTGAAAAAAACCCAGAAAATGTCGTATACAAAAAGCCCAGCCTGCACAGCATAAAGATGGAGAAAATCATACCAAAGCAAACATAGCTGAATACGAGAAGTCAAGTAAATAATACTATAATATAGCTTGCCAATTTGGCTAATCAGCAAAAGAAACATTACTTTAAGATTTGGTTAATCAGAGCAAACTAATATCAACCTCAAAAATTCAAAGAAGAGAATGTCAGCATTAAATGTAAAATAGAAGCAGCAAGGATCAATTTAAGTCTCCATCAAAACAGATTGCTAAAAATGAAACCGGGTCTATGGATAAAACCTTCAGAATAAACAACTATAAAAAAGTTAATTTATTCAAAGATCAAAATCAGCTAAAAAAATGCAAAAGTTGCTACACTTTGAAATTAAATAAATTAATAAATCATGAAGCTAACTTGTCTCACAAAAATGGAATAAAAACTTCCCATGAATAACCAACTAAAAGCCCAAATCCACTTCTTACCAAGAGAATGGCACCAGTCTTAAATGATCCAAGGGAAAGCATTTCAATTCCCTGCAAAAACCAACATTGACCTTCAAACAGAGCATAGCTAATATGTGTATAACACTTGACAAAGAACAGCCATAAACTTTGATAACTGGGAGGAAAAAGACAACAAGGTGATGAAATATAGTTAAATCATATTTTCATCATAAAATTATTAGAACATAAAGAAAATGAATACTTTCATATCTTAAAAAATGGCTGTCCCTTTTTCCCATATGTATGGGGTAAGGGGGAGGTAAGATAGTAGGCTACCCCCAACACCAGGTTGAGAGCAGCTTCCGTAAGAGACCTCCGAATTATGAAATGCCCTCCGTGGGACTCGATTCCACGACCTCAAGGTTAAGTACAACTTAATTGAAACCTAGCCACAAATTCAGCTGTATCAAGTTATGGAGAATATGCCGACATGAATCATTTCTTAGTCAATATCTAAAGTGACTTGACAGACTGAAGCAAATGATAATTCAAAATCCGTTAAGACAATTCAAAATGCATGGGCTCTTTATTGTAAAATGCTCATCCGGAAGTACTTTTCGGCTAAAAGAAATATGAACTTCCAATTTCAGTGTTTGATTTGTGACAAGAAATATACCAAAAAATATTGTTTTGTTTGGGTCTCATGTAAAAATCGTAGAAAAGGAATTAGATATCAAGCACCACATTAACTTGTTAGCGAATAGCAAAGTCAACAAAATAGGTATTCAGTCAAACCTGAATGCAGAAAGCAAGACCCAGAACGTTATTAGCCAGCCAATGCTTCTGCGAAGCATACCATGCACAGAAAAAGGTTCCAGGGATTGCAGCTACGATCTGAGATCTTGTGAACTCGATCTCGAAAGCTGTTTAAGAATGTTTTGGAAAGGCATAAGGAAAAACATCATTCTGAATAATACAAGCAACGTAATACCAACTAGATCAAATAAGAATTCTAAGAAGTCAATCGTGGACATAGAGTGCTCCTAAGCTGCCAACTTTATGTAGCAAAAAAAAGAAAAAAGAAGAAGAAAAGAGTGCTCATAAACTGCCAAAGGAACATAGTCCCAAAGGTATCACAGCAATCAAATAATTAATTCCATTTTGGACCTATGCAAATTCCAGAGGGAAATCCTGGAACAAAATTGAAATGGAACTTCTAAAAAAAGGCAGAAAGCTTAAAGCACATAGTATCCTTTATTTTTTTTTAAAAAGGATCTTCCTGTCAGCATATAACTTCCTCCTCCACAAGAGAAACCAATCCAAAGTAATTTTCAGAGAAATGGTGAATAACACAAAAGCACTCAGGAAAAAACACTCAAGAATACTGGTATATCCAGACTCTTCAGATCAAACATGAGACACAATAAAGCCAAAATAAAGCAGAATATGTCATAAGGAGATACAGTAGAAGCAACATAAATACAAATCAGAGGGAAAAAAGGGTTACATCCAGCTCAAAAACTAAAAAAATTCCTCTTAAAAAAACTTGAATAAGAAAACTTCAAAAGATTAAAAAAAGAAGGGGCATACAGCGGAAGTATGGAAGACGCCAAATGATAAGGTCCTCATTCCAATGCTTTGGCAAGAAGCGTTTTATGGCGGGCACTATTGTTGCCCTTAGAATGATGGCATAAAGAATAAATAAGATGATCAAACAATTAAATATGACATCAGGGAAATTAATTGTATAAAGGTAAAATGTAGCAGCAAATCCATAAGAACATACGAAAGAGCGACGACCCCAAGCACAAAGAAATAGCATGTCAAGACAGCATTAACCAAGTCTTTTGATAAGAACTTGAACAGCAAAAAAAGTGATAACAACATTGCACTCCCAACAAATGGAAAACGCATAGCATGCTCGTTAGACATTGTCTCCTGTATGAAACATATGGCATTGTCAGCAAATTTTGGTCTATAGACCTTGATAACAAAAAAGAAGATACCAAAATTTAATTTAAATGCTGAAATACTCACTGATGGTGGAGTTGGCTTCACAGAACGATAACAACCCACATATACTGTGAGGCATGCAGTCAAAATAACATTCAAATTAGGGTCTACTTTCACGACAAGAGGTGCCAATGACAACCCTGCATTTAGCAAATCAAGGATGTTATTAGAAAGAGTCCAGGTTCTTAAGCACACATATGGCTCCTTATATTGGTCCACTCTGACAGTGATTCAAGATAAGAACACGCTTGGTTCCAAATATTCTCTAAAAGAATCAGCCATAAGGCTGATATCTATCATTTCACTAGCATATTATGCAAGATTCATTAAGTCTAAATCTAGCATATTCAATACATGATAATGCATTTGGGGATATGCAATGCGAGCGAATTTACTTATTGCTGCTTTTGCTTATTACTTTTTGGTTCATAATTACTTTACAAATAAGACAGAGATAACAAAGCTACCGGCTACCGCATTCTAACCAAACTACACATTCCCAAATTTCACCCTCACATCATTTCTCTCCAATCAGTTCTCTCATTTTCCTTGCAACTCAAACCAATACACATTAACTAACTAAACCCTCTCTTCTCCTACTGAACTAAATTGAACAACTGAATGAACGAAATAAATTCTTTCAAAATCAATAATATACTAAAATTAATCAAGAATATATCAATAAAAGGCAAACCTGCTAAAGCCAAATTGGCGAGTCTTTCAGAGTTCTTCATCGTCGTAGTTTATTTTAAATATAACAGCAAAGAAGATTAGAGTCTCTTTGTACCTACAAAAAGAAAAATAAATACAACAAATCGAAAAAAATTAATCAATTAATAGAGAGAGAAAAATCAAGATTCGAAAGAATTTCCAAGTAAAATTAGGGATTAGAACCTTTGGCCTTGGTCTCCTTTCTTTCTCTCTCTCTAACGGTCGATGGAGTTTTACAGATCGGAGAACGATAATCTATTTGTCTTTTCTTTTTCTCTATACAAGGAAATCTTTATAGAATTTTATTTTTATTTTATTTTATTTATATTGGGTACTTTTTTTAGTATTAACTAAAAGCCGGAGTTAATTCTGTTCTTAGAGGATGCTGTCATTTAATGTACTGTGACAGCCAATGAAAAAAAAGAATGTGTGACTGGCAATTTTGAAATTAAGGGATTTTGGGGGATTGTTTGACTCGTGGCGCAACATGGTTAGGCTTTGTAATGTCTTACGTGCATTGCTGTTATGGGAAGGTTTAATTAATATATGAAGGTGTAAAACTGAAAATGGCAAATGCACCGCATCGAGTCATAAAGAAGTCGACATGCCAATGAGGTGCCATGTCCAATCAGCTGCTCCCACGTCATCATACAGAAACATCTGTCTTCCCGCGTTTCACTTTTCTCCGATTAGAAACTGAGGAGCTTTTTTTCTTTCTTTTCGATAAACTATACTAATGGTCATTAAACTTTTAATATACTTATACTTCAGTTATTGAAGTTGAAAAACATTCATTGGAGTCACTGAATTATTATTATACTTTCATGTTGATAATAGTTTAAAGAAGTATTTATAAAGAAAAACACACACGAATATTTAATCCAAACGTGATATTAGTTTTACTTAGTGAATTTATTTGTTTATGTAATATAATATAATAATTTTAATTGGTAAGTGAAATTGACATTATATTATGGGTAAATTATACAAATGGTTATTAATGTTGGAGTAAATTTTTATTTTTTTACTAAAGTTTAAAAGTAACAAATTGGTCATTAACATTATTGATTTGTAACAAATCGGTCACTTGTTGTTAATGGTCATTACTACAATAACGAAATACTGACATGGCGCATCAAATCAACTGACTTAGCACATATGACCATACGAGACTCCCCTGACCCATCGTTTGACTCTTCTTCTTCTCCTCCTTTGCATTCAAATTGTTCATCTTCAAACCTATCAACTAGAGATTATAACTGAAATTTCCAAAGCAAATTTGCAAATCTATAAACCTGCAAATCTATCATATGATCTTTGTTGCTAGTATCAGCTGTAAAACTATCAAGAAAAAGAAAAATATTTTGACATTTTCATGTCTCAATAAAACGTGTTATGCTATCACTGGGAAATATATCTCGCAAACCAGATAGTGAATAATCTTTTTATAGCATATAAGAATAAAAAGGTTCAAAATGAGACCTTTCCAATAATAAAAAAAAAAGCAAGAACCCAAAATACCTATTTGGCCAACAAGATCAAATAACATACGATAGATTTGTAGATTTGCCTTGGAAATTTCAGTTATAATCTTCTCTTGATATATTTGCATATGAACAACTCGAATGCAAAGAAGAAGAAAAGTCAAACGATCGATCAAAGAGGATCTCGCATAATCAAATATATTAAGTCAAATGGTTTAACACGCCATGTTAACATTCCGTTACTACAATAACTACTGTTAACGACGAGTGATAAATTTATATAAATCGATAACATTAGTGACCAATATATTACTTTTAAAACTTTATTTGTGTGCCATCATATTATATAACACATACGACGTTTCTCCAATATTTTACCGTGTTGCAATTAAGATTTACACTCCTCAGATTTAAATGGGATTCTAGCTATGCCACCCTTGAAAAATATAATTTAGAAAATATGACAAATAATTATAATTAATTTGTAATTGTGTTAAAAAAATAAACTATAAGATTGATCACTTTCGTTTAAATTTTGTATTTTTTTCATTGAATTTTAAAAATATATTATTTGATCATCTTTGTTTTTATTTAAATAAGATGTGGTTATTGACGATTAACTATTGTTAGACTTTTAACATATTATTGACGTAACATAATAAATGTATAAAATTAAAAAGAAAAGATTACATAAATATTCACTAATATTTGAGTAAATTTTTATTTACGTTAGGCATCGTCCGGAAACATGAAAGTTAGGTGATTATTTATTGCCTGTAATTCATATTATGGATTATAAATATTTGTCAACCAGAATAAATAGATTAATAGGAATGGCAACGGGTCGGGTTTGGGGATTTTTTTTGTCCTGTCCCCGAACCCGACTCGAAATATTATACCCAAACTCGAATCCGAACCCGGACTCGAAAATATTTTATATATAATTAATATAAAAAATATTATATATATAATTAATATAAAAGATAAGAAATATTATATATATATATAATCGAGGCGGAGCGGGGATACCTTGCCCCGAACCCGACCTGAAAAAATTCCCAAAAAAATCTCTAAACCCAAACCTGACCCGATATCATTTAACCCGACCCGAAATTGATCGAGTTTCGGGTTTCTCCGTCAGGTTCAAGTCATACTGCCATCCCAAGTTAGCAATCTTGTTGAAAGCTAGTGAAGGGGTGGTTTCGATTCAATCTTAGAAAAGACAATAAGCAAAACACTTTGTTACAAAGGAAATCGATGTGAAATAAGTGCAGTAGAGAGTTGGGAATGGTTTCAAAACGGGGAGTTTAGGGTTTTGAGTGGCTAGCTGTTGAAATGAAAGCAATCATTCTTCTGAAAAAGGTCGGTCCTTGCCGTTCATAATGCCGGCGTCGGTGATTTCACCTTCTCGCTGAATGCGGAAATTCTGTCTTTACAATTATATGTCCCAACCTTATTGTTTGTCGTTTCTAAGAAATTATTTACAACTTGAATTTAATCCAACCATAACAGGTCTTTAATTTTTAAATATTTATATTCTTAATTTAAATAAACTAATTTAAGAATGAAAAATATAATTAATTTTGAAGGCATGTGATTTGTTAAAGAAGATTGGGGCCCAAGTGGGGACCTCCATTTTCCAAAGTGGAGCAAATTTAGTCATACCAAGTGGAAGCTGTATTGTCAAGCAAAGCAATCACCTCTCCATAAATCACTATCCCCCACCCACCCCCTAATCTATTTATTTCTATATATATATATATATATATATATATATGCATTAAATTTGTACATTTTTATAAATAATTATTATATTTAATAGACTAAATAATAAATGAAAATATTATATTTTTAAAAGATTTAAGTAGGGATAATTACTTCTACTAGAGATATATAATCAATAGGTTAAGTATATGAACAAGTGTACGAGTGGTAAAAAGAGGCACAAGAAACTTCGTCGTCTTCACCTTCATCATCAACAACGATTTTGATTTTATGTTCTTCCCTGTTGATTTCCACCTACCACCACCCTCCTCTCAGCCGCTCTTTCCTTCCATGCTTCTCCTGGAATTCATGGATCCTTTTGCAAAATTCCCTCACCAACCCTTCAATCTAACATGACACACAACCGCTAAATGTTGCTTCCATTGCATTCCTCACCTCTCAACTTACTCTGTTTTCCTTGTCTTCTTTTTTATTTTGCCAGATCATGGATTCTTTCAGTACATCATCTGGTTTCCGTTTTAACCCGAATTCAAGCACCGTTGATGATGCAGACCGAGATTCGGAGTTCTCGGGCATTCTCGAAATATACGTTCACCATGCTAGGAATATTCACAACATATGTATCTACGGCAACCAAGATGTTTATGCCAAGTTCTCGCTCACCTATAACCCTGACGATACCCACTCAACTAGGATCATCAATGGAGGCGGAAAGAATCCCGAATTCAACGAGAACTTGATGATGAAAGTCACCCAGATCGATGCTGTCCTCAAATGCGAGATTTGATGCTCAGTAGGGCCAGAAACTACTTGGAAGATCAGCTTTTGGGCTTTGTTTTGGTCCCGATTTCACAAGTTATCGGCAAAGGAAAAATCACTCAAGATTATAGCCTCACGTCCACTGATCTTTTCCATTCTCCTGCCGGAACTGTCAAATTGAGTCTTTCTTTGAACACATCAATGGCTGTCAATTCTCAGACCAAAACAACCAATTCTTCCATCTCAGCAGAAGTGGTATTGCTTGACCGGAAAATATCTGAATCCCAAGTTGTTTTAGACCCTGTTGAGTATTCCAGGATAGAGTTTCCTGACATCAATGTTGTTAGGGAGAATCAGCAAATGGTTTCACAGAACTTTAATGGTTTAAATCCAAGGCCAGGAATTGCTTCATTCCTTCAACTCGGTCTTGTCGAAGACTACGAGATGACAGTAAATTCATCCGAAGAAGTCCATGGAGGATCCCTTTCTCCCAATGGAAGCCTCCAAAATTCTGGGTTTTCTAGTTCCACAACAACAAGCCTAAGTGATGATCGCAACTCAGCTGACTCGAATGAGAAGAAGAGCCGTCTCGCAGGAAAGCCATCGAATTCTCTCACTCCCGAGACTAATCCGAGCCCAGGTGGTTGTCCCTCGAACAGAGGATGCGAAGTTGGAGAGGAGAAAGAGTCGAGTTATTCGAGCAAAGAAGTGTTTTCAGCTCCATTGGGGAACATGAATCTGGAGGCAGAGCAATCGGCAATGCAGCAACAGATAGTAGACATGTACATGAGGAGCATGCAACAGTATACCGAGTCTTTGGCTAAAATGAAGCTTCCCATGGATCTTGACAAACCCGAACATGAACATCGTGGTAATTTCATTCAAAACAATAGCAAGAAAATAGAACAAGAGAAAAAGAAAGATGGGTCCAGGGTTTTCTATGGTAGCCGGGCATTCTTTTGAATCAGATATTACTGCAAATTGAGAGCTAAGAACTACTACTTTTGGCGTTGATTTTATTTCCTTTTTTTGTTTTTCGTCTTAACAGCAACTTCATCCTTGTTGAAGAGCCTAGTTTTCTCTCTACTTCTGTTGTTAATCCCTGTATTGACTTAAATGCTGAGATTTGTAATCTATCAACTGTAACAAAGCCATGTGAATAACTGAAGAATTTCTCTGCACTTTAGTATTTTGTTCCTACGAAAACAATATTAAAAAATTGAATGTATGCCAAACCCACACTTATTTGCGTAGAGGTGGAAGCAATCTTATCCGAACAAGTGATGGATTGTTTTGCTTTATTTTGTCGGAAATTTTAAAAATACAACTCGTTAATATAAAGTTTTAAAAATGATATAATTGGTTGTCCCTTTTTCCCATATGTATGGGGTAAGGGGGAGGTAAGATAGTAGGTTACCTCAACACCAGGTTGAGCAGCTTTCGTAAGAGACCTCCGAATTATGAAATGTCCTCCGTGGGACTCGATCCCACGATCTCAAGTTTAAGAACCTTGTGCTCTACCTCATAATTAAAAAAATTATTAAAAAATAATACTTCAGATTAAATATAATAACATTTTAAATTAAAACCTAAAATATTATAAATTTATGTAACTTTTCCGATTAAAAACTCCAAACCCCGCAATATAACTTTTTAATTATAACAAAAAATATTATAAATTTATATAAAATTTTAAATTGAATATGATAATATTTTAAGTTAAAAATCGTGTTAAAATTAACTATCTTACGGCAAAAACTACCTTATTTTGTTGGAACAATGATTACATTGATTTAGTGGCGTAATTGTTTAAATATTTTTATCCCTTTGGCTTAGGCACACCGACATTCCCTCGTATTTTACTTGGATAAAAAAATTGTTGAAACAATATTTTACTCTCTTTCTTCCCAATTAACAAGAAAACAAGAGAGAGGTAAAATTGTTTGGAAATTAGAAAGACTAAAATAAAATAAAAAAAGAATTGATTAAGATATCTTGATATTGGTGGAGGAATAATGAATAAATGTTCCCCGGAGTCATGATCAATATGTTGAAAATAACCCCATTAAAATTCTTATGCTGCACTTATCATTCTGGTGCTGCTGGTGGGACACTTGACGTCACCCAGTTTCTCGATGCAACCGTCCTTCAAAAATATAACATTAATGATACAATATCATATTTAATGAATGTAAAAATACTTCGTGCATATAAAGTATTTACATATAAAATAAACACGTTTAAATGTCTCGTACTCTTCTTATAATTTGATACTTTCTAATCAACGTATGCGCGTATAAATATTATTTATGTAATTAATATTTTTGTGAGTTTTAGTGTCTTAATGCTTCAACCTTTATCCAATATACACAATATGTGCTCGAGGGTCACATCATATAAATCTATTCCCAAGTATCGATATGATGAAATTAATTGAGGTCATGGAAAAATCCTTCATGCCAGCCATGGTGGGGACTCGGCTAACGCTTTCAATTTCGTAACCAATTGTTTTACCCAACACCGTAGGGTTCATTTCGTTCAACGATTTTTGACACATCACATCCATTTACTCTGCCTACCCAACTTCATGCTTTTCCCTTTTTCATTCAATTTTCAACCCATAAATACAGTATATATTAATAGATATATACTAATAAACCAACCACGAAAAACTAAAATAATAATTAAATAAGAATGTATACAACTGCTGCCACTACCTTTCTTTTGGAACCGCATATCATCGAGTAAGATACACATACTTTCTCTATTAGATTGCTCGTAAAAATGGTTGATTAACTAGAATTACAAGCAACCAAACGTTTATTATGCATTTATTTCATAAAAGAAGTATCGAGGGATTCCCAAACTAGTACAAGTCACTAGAATATAACAAAATAAAAGCATACAAGTCTTGGATCCTCCAGATATAACATAACTCAAAACCATCCCCCACAAATTCTGAGTTTTACCAATCCCACCGTCCCTCCATTGATCATACCGCAAAGCTATCTGCGGAGAACAGCTCCACTTTACCATCTGCCGCCTGCTAACTTTTAACCGCACAGACATTCCCAAAGTTAATTAGGATACTAAACCAAGTTTTACTTGACCCCAGCTCCTCAAGTTATTTGGCCCCAAAAACCAAGCAGCTCCATCTCAAGTAACCATTTACTCCCTTGCGAATTTAGCATCTTATAAGATTGGTTTCCTCAATCTTCCTCCACAAATCTGGTTAACTCCGCAATATTAACACTAAGCTTCACTTTGTTGAGATAATCTCTGATAATGAGTGCACACTCACCTGTTTAGCAGCAAGTGCCCACTGGAAGCCAATGCCTGGCACGTTCCATAAAAAAAAAAAAACTCAACATTGACAACACTTCAAAGTTGGAGTTGAACTTGGCGGCAAATGGAAGCAGTGCATTCACGGTGTAATCATTCTCAAGAACCTCAAGAACAAAATCAAATATACATTAGTGAACCTTAGCAACAATTACAATCAAATTGAGTTAGAAAACGAGGGAAATTCCCACTTACCAGCTACATTTGCATATTCTCACACAAAATAACGACCCATCCATGCTGATTGTCCTTGATACTGCTCAGGCAACGAGGTAAAGTGTTGGTTCCCATTCATGGGCTGCTTTTGATGCAATTTCTGTTCATGCTGAATTTTCAGATGCTCAAGGGTATTGTAGTCTTGCCAGCCTTTCTCCTTTTCGATTTGAACCTGCACTGCTGGAACCTGCTTTCCAGGGAAAGGAAAGCTTACTGTTCCAGTCACGCCATTGCTTTTGTTATTGGCATACTGGGGATTAGCATGAGATGAATTATAGAGTGAACTCTCAATCCCAGAGCCTTTAAATAAGGATCTCGACTGATGTCCATCCAACCAGCTATAATAATCCATCGGACTTTTTTCCAAACCTATGGAAGAAACAGATTCATTCAGTTGCTTTGGAGGAACAGAGCTAAACCCCGGTGGCGGACCAAGATGGCTAACTGGACGGCTAACTGGATTCTTCTGCATCCCAACTAATGAAGCTGAGATAGTTCTAGCAGCTAAGGCATCACCAGTACCAACACTTGGCACAATAGCATTAGTTCTGGATGGCATCACAATTCCTGACATTTTTGTCGGACTGTAGTATGTACCATTAGCACCAACACTGACAGGCTGTTGGATGGCAAGCGAATGAGTAGCAGGATGAGAAAAGCCTAAATTATCTTGCACCTCACTCGTTGTTAAATGTCCATTACCCAATGTTGTCAAACCTTTAAAGCTATTAGCCAGAAAAGTAGCATCTTCCATTGACCACCCAGATCCATGCATCTGAACAGGTTGCAGATGCTGAGGGAGAATAGTACCAACAGATACAGGCAGTGGATGACTAGCATCAAACGTCTCATACTGGAGAAGACTATCATAAGGAGCAGACATTGTACTGCCAAAGAATTTTAGATCACCAGCACTACTTTGATTGAGCTTCAAAATCTCAGAAGGGGAATGATTTGGATCAATCACCTCAGTTTTCTTCTCACTCACAGCTGGCTGGAAAACAATCACTTCATCATTGTCATCCTCTTCCCCAGCGATTCTAGGTTGTGGGATTGACTGAACATTTCCAATGTTAACTATGTTCTCAGAGGGGGATTCATGAACCAAGCTATTTGTTACCATTGAGGTAGCAGATGTGCCATCTGGAAATGGCCCCACACCAATAAGAAATTTCTTAGCTTTCGAATCAAAACAAACAATTTTCTGATCAACCCTAATGACATTTGCTAGAGCCTTCCCAGCTGCTAAGATTCTTTTGACATGGGCTTTCCTTCCTTTATCACCATCACTTACAAAGGAAGGTTTCCTCGAGAAGTCCAAAATGGCATGCGATGGAACAAGAGGCAAGAACCCTCGCAACTCAAAGTCCTCCCACAATGCAGGACGGTTCTCAGTTTCTCCTTCCTCATACCTACTCATATTGAAAAAGCAGGTCTCGTCTTCATCAACATCCATGCACATAGGCCTAATTGACAGAATCTTGTTCAGTAATGATATGCAGTGTTTCCAGAAAAAAGATCTAGTACTTGACTGCTTCTCATCAACATCACTAATAGCAGCTGCAACATCAGGGCAACAAGCCAACCATTCTAGGAAAACCAGAATAGCAGGTAAAGTGTAGCTTGAAGAAACATCCCGGAGTTGTAAACATCTTTCCACTACATGTCCCATCAACTCAAAAATGGCGATGAAGGCATTCTGAAGTAGGGCAGCACGCTGTACAATTTCAGCATACGTTTGACCTTCACTCTCCCTCTTCAGATTGTGCACCGTAAATATGAGAATGGAAACCATCCTAACAAAGAGAAGGGCATTCTCAGCAGCACCCGTTCCAAAATTCAGTTCCTCTTCTGGTCCAGAAGAGAGAAGTTCACATAAATCATGGTTAACCTGAGTAAGAACATCTGCAAAAGTCTCCAGGCTGCAAAAAGTAAGAGTTGATAAGGACACAACCCAAGAAAACCTAGGTCAATAACATAGGTGAATAAACTTATGAGAAAATATACCTTGTGCGTGTAAAAAGAATGCCATTTAGACGCACAAATCTAATACAAAAGGACTTAAAAGTATCCTGAACACCAGAGACTTTCTCGTTAGCAGGGTATTTTTCCATGTTGCCATCTTTAGATGCAAGTTTCGCTTCCACCTTCCCTCTACCTTTACCTGATTGACGCACAGCAGGTTCCTTGAAGGGAGCTTTAACATCCCCAGGAAGTTGTGAGTAATTATGTCGATTCTGCAAATAAAGAACATATATTTAAAACAGTTTCCATAAATATCTGCATTTTCAAATACTAGCATATAAATAATAAACCCACTCAAAATCACCTTTCAAGTTTCAAGTCATTAACATTTAACATAAAATAATTAAACTGTTGACAATTATATAAAAGCAGAGAATTCTCAAAGTTGAATTACCATGTCGATAAACTGGCTGCATTCTCAAAGAACCAAGAAAAAAATGACATTGAACACAGTTAAAAATCCTTCCAAAACTCCATGATGGAAGGATTCTGGTAACTGTTTAACATCATGCCAAATTGTAGCTTCTGCTAATACATGCAATACCTATCTGTAACACGATATCTTAGACTAGAAAATAGGCAAAATTTTGTATCAGCAATCCATAAAATCCGATTTCTAATCTTCATAAGAAAATAACTACTAAACCTAGAAAGGATGGATCAATAGTTTTTTCCCATTAGACTGGAAAGTAGTAGGCATCTGTCTTCACAAAATGTCTCCCAATAAAGTTTGCAACCATATGCAATTTTCAAAGAACTGTAACTACATATGAAAATGGTGCACACAACAAATTGTTCAACCATAAAAAGCAACATAACGTCCTGGTTGTAACAAGCGCACACATCATAACCCATAGTACATACAAAAGGCCATTTTGTGGTTAATGTCCAAAACCCAAAATAAAAACTATAATTGCACTTATACCTTCTCAAATGCCACAATCAAGTTATCCCTTGCAGTTGAAAATGGGTTATCAACAGCTAAACTCCGGAAATATCGATAAACAGCCCCCAGCTCATCTCCTGAATATGTAGCTATTATAGCTAGCTGAAATAAGGAGATAATTGACCATGTAAAAATTCAGAATTGTGTTAAACAAAAGAAATTCAAGGGAAGTGCAAAAATAATATAAGGGCATAAAAGTTGAGAGTACTCTATTAAACAGGGAAAAGGAAAATAAAGAAAAACCTGATGATGTGCATTCCCACTTGATGGCCAAATTGATGCAGCTTGCAAGTAGTAACTTGAAGCAGTTGCATATTCACGTGATTTAGGATTTCCATCTCCATATAATCCTTTGTACCGTGCTAGGTCTCCCAAGTATATCAAGCAACGGTGACAAGACACCAAACCCTTTTTTATATCAGCAGATTTCTTCCCATCTTTGTCCATAACAATTTGGCTTTCTGAATCATCAGAAAAGTACCCAAACGGTAGTCCATACTTTGCTCTGATTTTCAAAATCAGATCGTGATAAAACCCTGTTGCCTCTGAAAGGAAAGTCTTAAACTGCAGTCTTATTTTTGTAAGCCTGTCAGGTTGTGGAGGAACTTTCACACCATTAGATGTGTTTGATCTTGCAGAAGCTAGAGCAGCACTATAATGCGCCCTTAGTTCCTCGATCCGCTTGTAATGTAACTGCCACAAAGCATATTCAATATTGTGCTGCTCAGAAAAAGCATGGTCCTCGAGAATTATTGCTTCATAGTTCTCACGCATCTGCTGCCAGGCATTGGGATCTGAAGGTACCCGTGCCTTAGCATCTCTGCTACGATTGTTTTCCAACTCTATGTTCTGCAGAGAATACCAAGTATTAATTTCCATGGTCAGAAACTCCAAGGGGACCTCATTTCAATAGATGAGAAAGAATACCTTTTCATAAAGACGTTTCGCATGCTCCCTGGACGAAGGAGGAGACATTTTATCAATCGGCACTGTCATCATCCATCAACAGTACTTCATCAAAATGAATTAAACCTAAAGACATTTCACACCATCAGCAAAAAAATACAGGTGATATTTCATTTGATAAAGTGAATTTTTACAGTCACGGCTAAGCTGCTATAAACAATGGAGGGAAAGGCACTGATCATCCAAAAAGTGAGCCACTATGTTAAGTCAAAATGCAACATAACTCCATTTAAATAGTACAACCGCTATAGCCAGATTACAGGATGCACACAGTAAAAATTTCTAACACTCAAAATGCAACAACTCTCACAAAATGCAACAAGAATACATCAGGATCAATGACAACTCGCAAGAATAAAACTCTAATTCAGATTTCAAATGGAAGCTTCATACAGCCCCAAAAAATCCGAAAATTTTAAACCCTTACCATACCATGTATTGCTTATCCGCACCTGATTACTTGAACAATAATCGTAAATTATTGAAAAATCTATGGAAAAGATGATTCGGAAACTGATGAATCCACCCTTAGCATCCTAAGACTAATATTAACCTCAGACTCATATACCATACATACCAAACCCAGACATTGTTTCTGTTGTAGCAAATAATTAACAGTCTATTCTTAAACAAATCTAAAATAATAATATTTACAGATTTTTAAAAAGATCAAATATATTTTTTTTAAAGAAGAGAGAAAAAAAAAAGAATGGAAACGAACCCTTCTCTTATAGTCTCAAATAAGATTCGGACGTATAATTACCATCTCGCAAAAATATTTATTCAGAAAAGCAAACAAGAGAAATAAAAAAAAATCCTCTGTATTGTGTTACATTTACAAAGCCACGTCTTTTTTTTTCTATTTCAATTCTTTCTAAGAAATAATAAGAAAAATTAATTATTTACACATAAAATTTTGAATTCATAACTCAAAACGATAGAAAGAAAAAGCATCAAGGCCGACGATAAAAAAAGATGATTACAATAATATCAACCACGACCCCCCGAAAGCCACCACATAAATATATCAAATCGGGAAAAAATTCAAAATTGAAATTAAAAGGCAAAGGAAGAAAAAAAAAAGAACTCACCTGATGTGGATCGGATCTGAAGAGAAACCTGGAATTAAAGCATGGGGAACCGAATTTTGAGATAAATAAACATGTATTGATTAGGGTTTGGTAGTTTGAGAGAGAGGTGGTTTGGTTTTGGTCGGATTTGGGGATGAGACGAGCTTAAAATTTCATTATTTCAACGTACTTTCTTTTCCTTTTATTTATTTCTTCTATTAGGTATCTAAAAAGTGCAGACTAAAGGCGGCTTTTTCAAACGACGCCGTATTAATAGCCGCTGACGTACTGCTTTTCCCCCCAAAACCATTGGGAATTATGGGCCGATTGATTAAGCCCGAGTTTTAACATTTTCTATATTTATAATTACTAACAAAATTATTATTTTATTAAATAATATGAAATTAAAGTTATTATAAATATTTTATTTTTATATTATATAAAAATATTTTTAATACTTTAAAATAACACTAATTAAATTGTTTAAAATAATTAAATGTATTGACTGTTTTAATAATTAAAATTTTTATAGTGATATTAAATTATACTTAAAGTCAGAATAAAAATAATATGAAAGTCGAATTCTCTTGTACTAATTGAATGAGAATTCCTAAACATGAGCATTTTTTAGGGCGGTTTGGTTCATAGAAAAGATTATTACTGGAAGAAATATTATTTTTCTAGAAGTATATTCTTATGGTTAGTTATTGAAATAATGAATTTTTTTCATATGTATCATCTTCGATTCTTATTATTTGTGTTTTACTCAAAATTATAAATATAATAATAATATACAAAGAGTTTGATTTAGTGAAATATTAATAAATTCTAGTAGTTAATATTATTTTATATTTTTAATATTTAATATATTAATTATTTATATTTGTATGAGGTGAAAAAATGATATTATTTTTAAAAAAATAAGTATTTAAAATAATATCTAATTTTTAGTTATTAAAAAGGCTTAATGCAAAAATAAGTTTCCAAACTATACTTAAAGTTAACTTTAGGTGCCTAAAGAATTTTTCGTTAAAAATAAATGTTTAACGTTTCTAACGTTACACTTTTAGGTGTTTGGACAGTTAATACCGTTAAATCCAGACGTTAAGTGACATGTGTCGGGCATATAAAATTTTAAATTTTTTAAATTAAATTTTTTAAATTTTTATAAGCATAACATGTGTCACTTAACGGTCGAATTCAACAACATACACCTAAAAGTGTAATGTCGGAAATATTACACCTATTTTTTAACGAAAAATTCTTTAGGCACCTAAAGTTAACTTCGAATATAGTTTGGACACTTATTTTTGCATTAAGCCTATTAAATAAAATGAATTTTATACATTCAAAAACATTATCTTTGTCCACTCGAGACCACAATATTTTTTTCATATTATATTATATATAAATAAATATGACGCATATGAAAAGTATTTAAAAATAGAAGTTTAATATACTAACTATATTAATTATATGTTAGGTGTATTTTTTCCTCAAAATGAAATATTTTTATGAATTTCATTCAAATATTTATAAGTTAATATTAAATTTTATCTTGTTAAAATATATATATATATATATATATATATATCACAAGAATAATTTAGTAAAATATGCATCTAAATAATCGTATATTTATCCAACCAAATATTATAATCTTATGTCTATACTAAACAAATCAAACAAGACGATATGACATTCTCAAGATAACGTTACACTCTAATAATCTTATTCTCGAAAATATTTTTACATTTCGTGCACTAACCAACCCGCGGGTGTTTTTGAGTTATTGGATATGATTGGAATATAATAACTCAACGTTTAATGAACTAAATTTAAGTGAGCGGAAGATTTAGCGCAAATACAAAGTATAATTTAAGTTTTAACTAAATATTTTTTATATTTAAAATTTGATAATGGTAAATAATTCTAATGTGAATTTAGTAATATGATAAACTAATAATAACATTTTATTTTTTAACACATTTGTGCTTTACAAATTTTATATAGATGATAAATTTATTGTTTTCAACCTTTTCAATTTTAAACAAATAATTTTTAGGAAATAATAAAAAAAAATTATTTTATTCGTGCATGAACATGATGCATTAGGCACAAGAATATAAAAGCGAGGCTCAACAAGAAAGCAAAACGGGCAGGCCATGCAGGGGCCATGCAACACTAGTTTTTGTTTCGGTTTACGTAAATTGTACGAGAATGGCAGGGAAAAGAGCATCGTAAATTCAGCATCTGCAGAAAGAATAACTTTTATATAGTGTTGGTTTTTGTGTTGTGTGGTTAGAAAGTTTCGGGACAAAACATAGGCATGCAGGCTACAAGTTCGATAGACAGCCTCAGAAAATCAGGGGATAAAAGAACAAATTCAACTCTTTTTTTATCCCTCGACATGAACCAAATAGAACAAGTAAGATCTGTGGTGTTGGTTGCGACAGTGAAGGGTGTGGTTGACAGCACTTTATCACGTTATCTCTTTGCATTGCTTTCTCAACCTCAGCTTTTACTTTTATGGAATTCTTTCAATTTTGTGCATGTTGCTCACACTAACACTATCCTTTTACAATCTCTTACTTACACGTACACCCTCCTTTTCATCAAATCCATTAAATTATGTTATTTGGATTTAAGGCGAGTATCGGATACATATCGATATAATTTGGTATTCATTTCTCACCCTACATGCAAAATATTGAGCTCTGACATAGAAGGAAATTCACCAAAAGGAGAGGACCTTAGATGGGAAAAAATACAGCTATAAATAAACAAAACAAAGAGTAGATGAATTCCTTCAAGTCGGAGGGGTTGATAGCCGCAAGATTCCAAATGAATTCGCTCTTATCTGCAACGTTTGATCCACTTAGGACCCACGTTTATGTTGAGTGATTCTCCCTCTCTCTTATAAAAACTCCACAACCATATATATTTACAAGTCACAATTAACAGCCTGCAACAATCCTTCATCCAATTTCGTCTGGGAAATTCTCTTCCTAAGGTATGCCACTTTGCACACTTATTTGTTTACTCTCATGTGTTGACAATTATGTTTAAGTTTCGAAAGTTATGATTGATCAGAAAATAGATGCTTAGATGCATAACAAGAAACAAAAGCACGGGTTTATATTGGTTTTCTCTACTTAGAAACAGTGGAAATTAAAGTTTTCTGTGATATCTGTAGGAGGGAGAAAAGATGGACTATGTGTATGGACCAGGGAAGAACCATCTCTTTGTTCCCGGACCAGTTAACATCCCGGAACCAGTTATTCGGGCCATGAACCGGAACAATGAGGATTACCGTTCCCCAGCCATTCCTGCAATGACAAAAACTCTTCTTGAAGATGTCAAGAAGATTTTCAAGACTACCACTGGGACTCCGTTTTTGTTCCCAACTACAGGTATATTCATTGTTTTAATTATGCTATCAAGTTTTCGGTTATCTATATCAGGCTAATACTTAAGATTACTCACATACGTGCTATGTTGTTAATAGTAGAATCTTACTTGTTTCGGATTAGCTTCTGATGATGTTTGAATTCAGGAACCGGTGCATGGGAGAGTGCACTTACTAATACCCTGTCCCCCGGAGATCGAATTGTGTCTTTCCTTATCGGGCAGTTCAGTCTGCTGTGGATTGATCAACAACAACGCCTCAAGTTCAATGTCGACGTAGTTGAAAGCGAGTGGGGTCAAGGTGCCAACCTCGACATTCTGGCTGAAAAACTTGCAGCTGATCACGCCCACACAATCAAGGCCATTTGCATTGTTCACAATGAGACTGCAACTGGAGTCACCAACAACCTGGCTACAGTGAGGAAGCTGCTTGGTAAGTGTATATTAATTTCAAATTAACTTTCAAACATGGCTCTCATACTTTCTGTTTCTTCTCAGATCACTACAGGCACCCAGCACTACTTCTTGTTGATGGAGTTTCCTCGATTTGTGCCCTTGATTTTCGTATGGACGAATGGGGAGTCGATGTCGCATTAACAGGTTCTCAGAAGGCACTTTCTCTTCCCACAGGAATCGGTATTGTTTGTGCAAGCCCCAAAGCTCTGGAGGCATCCAAAAGTGCGAAATCAGTTCGAGTTTTCTTTGACTGGAACGACTATTTGAAGTTCTACAAACTGGGAACATATTGGCCATACACCCCTTCCATCCAACTACTGTATGGGCTAAGAGCAGCTCTGGATCTTATCTTCGAGGAAGGACTCAACAATGTGATTGCAAGGCATAGCCGTTTGGGCACAGCAACAAGGTGAGCCGTGGACACATCTATTTACTCAGTTGGGAACCTCATAGCCATTGATTTCGTTGTTGCAATCTTGAAACAGGCTTGCTGTGGAGGCTTGGGGCTTGAAGAACTGCACACGAAAGGAGGAATGGCACAGTGACACCGTGACTGCAGTCCTTGTTCCACCATATATCGATAGTACAGAAATTGTTAAAAGGGCATGGAAGAGATACAATTTAAGCTTAGGTCTCGGCCTCAACAAAGTGGCCGGAAAAGTATTCAGAATAGGACATCTTGGAAACTTAAATGAGGTAATTCCTCAATGATCTTCAAGTAGTGCTCCTTTTCCTGTTTGGGTATTTAAAACATGCTTTGTTACCAACATCACCATCCTCTTTATATATTTTCAGTTGCAACTGTTGGGTTGCCTAGCTGGTGTGGAGATGATACTCAAAGATGCCAGATATCCGGTTAAGCTCGGTAGCGGTGTTGCCGCCGCCAGCGCATACCTGCAGAACAACATCCCTATGATCCCTTCTCGGATTTAATGAATATGTTATGCATGTAATTACATTTCCTCTACCTCTTCCTTCAAGGTACTCTGTAAAAAGATGCTTCCCCTCTGTTGAAGCTTTTCAAATCCAGTACTTCTATACATGTTCACTTATTCCTCTGTTTCATAAATGTTCATTTTCTGCTCATATTTATTTATCATTTGATTAATTCAACTGTTACATTATATATTTTACTTATTTTCATGCGTGTCAAACAAAGAGTTAATTTTTAAATTTTATTTGAAATTCGATATTCCATGGTAACTCGTTTAAAAGAAGAAAATGAAATTTCGAACATATATGCATATATTGTAATGGTAAATTTTCAATTTAAGTCGAAGATCATTAGAATGAGAGTGTCAACATCCTAAAAGAGTAAGACAATGGCGTCCCTCCCTCAACTTGTAATGTATTGCTTTGATCCCACAAAGTTAGAGGATTATCACATGAAACAAATTAATTTACACTTCCTTCAATCATATACATACTGTGAGATCAAATGTGGGAAGCTACTTTAGCAAGCTTAAAGTACCAAGCAACAAACAGTGAGACAAATGGGTGTTACCGTGAGGAGAAAATAAGTAGTTTTTCCTATCTGGATCATGGAGTTGAGTTTTTCTTTTGCTTTCTTTGCTCGTCCTTTACTTTCTCCATCTTTCCACTTTTTGATTTCTGGTTGCTAATGGAACCCTCCTGAGCACTGCAGATGTGAGACTTCAATTTGAATCCGAATTTCTTTGAGACATTTCCCCAAGTGAAACCCTTTACCCGACTTATCTTTTTGATTTCTTGCTTCATGTTCGAGCATTCCTTCTCGAGCTCAGAAACCCGTGTTCTCATGTGATCCATGCCTTCCTTCAAAACCTGGTTTTCCCTTGCAGTTGCAGTCCACCCTCCTTCAGTAGGCCCTGCGAACCCGCTTCTCAGCTGTCGTGATCCATCAAGATTATCAGAAACCAAAAAGCAACTGGCTATTGATGTCCTAAGCTGAAGCTGCTCAAAGAACAAGATTTGTACAACTACTCTTAGTGGCAGTCTCTCATTCTGTGCAGCATGCGTGCATGCTTCCAAGGAGAGCTTCTGGCAGTCCATCAGCCGGCATAGTTGTTCTCGCTCGGGTTCTGATAACCATGGGTGCGACTGCAAGGTTGATTAGCATAGGAAAGTTAACAAGTTTGAATCGAAATTACAGCGATTGCCTTCTCATCTAGTTCTCTTCCTCATAATCCATGCATATAAGTTTGAAACTAAGGACAGTACCTTGAGATAAATGTCTACTGCACGGTACAGACCATCATGCAAGGGCCTAGCACAGTCGGGAAGAGAAGCAGCAAGAGCTTGAAACTTGGGGAGCTTCAAATTAACATCGGGGACAACCTCAGCAAGGTACCCATCGATTAGCTTGGCTACCATTGTAACAGGTGTTAATGAAGGCGAGCCGGTAATCTGACCATCATCAACTGAAGATGGAGAGGCTCCACCAGTAATCTGGTCCGTGGAAAGAAAATGTTCAAGAATTCGATGCACACAGTCAACATCATATAGTGTTTCCGAAGAATGAGAGAAGTTAGGCATCAGGAGATCTTCCAGAGTTGCTTGATCAAGCTGCATTCCAATCCTTTTCTCAATGTTAGATATACAGGAGGAGCTAGCTCGAAGAATCATGGCTGTTCGAAGCAATCCAAAGAGCAACTTTGTTGGGACAAGGCCCTTCTGAATAGGAAGCAACCTATCAATATCCTCCAGCAAACCCCTCTGATCTTCTTCGGATGGAGGAGCCTCTAAGGCCACAGGTGTGAGACGAGCACTCGAATTAGTACGGGTAGCACCCTGACGCTTTTTCAAACCAGGTAGATACTTTTTTGCATAAAAAGCAAGAGAGCCAGCGATTACTTCATGTCTGATACCACGAGACTCCAGGGCAGCAGTCAATCTCTTATAGAGAGGGAAACTTAAAGTCGATGCATCCTCATACCACCAATCTGAACTCATATTTTTCAGTCTAACCCCTGTACTAATCCCATTCCACAGCACACTTCCTCCAGGACTCTGCATAGGGCCACCATGTTCCATTATGGGCCATCCAAAAAGGTTGGAGTCAGTAGTTACCTTCATGGCCAATGATTCAGTACACCTTTTCGTAATGTTCAGTTCATCAGCATAATCGATGATATCATCACAAGTTTGAAGTGCTCTCAAAGTGTCTTTCCAATTTCGGAGGACTACTTGATTAAGAAAGGTTTCGGTCTTGGTAATAAGATTGCCTTCCCCGTATTCCTCGGTCATTTCCAAACGCTCAGCAGCGCATCTGAGGTAGACAACATTCGAGGATGTGAGCTCAAATTTCACACCGTAGCAGAACTTGGCCACAAGTTCAAAAATTTTGGCCCCTCCAGGAATGTCAGGGAGGCAAATGGAGCACTTTTGTTCATCTTCTTCAGATGCTTCTGCAATTAATCTTTCCATAACACCACTTCTAGAGAGTAAAGGGAACTGCACCAAACGAATGTTTCTACAAGTAAGAACTTAATCGATCATAAATTAATTACAGTAGTATATACATATATGATTTGATTAGGGAAAATTACCTTGTGAAGATGAAAGGACATTTCTCCAACTTCAACAACAATATCACTAGGAAGTCCAGTTGTGCAGAACCTACAAATATAGAGGTTAAATGTCTCTAACGAGAAAAACTAACTTGGTCGGTCAAATCAACAACCAAAACACACAAGATGGACGAAGGGTGCTGGCACAACGGTAGCCTCTTTTACGATTTTAAATTCTCATATAATTTAGAAATTTTCTTGGTACTTTTTATTTTCTATTAATAATCTGTTTTCGCCTATCCCCTAAAATTTTACAAGTTCACTCCTAATATAATATTGCGTTCAACCGAAAACCTGCACGTGAGTGTTTCTCTTGATCCATATGCATGATGCAAATTCAAACATAATAGTATCTCTAACAAATTTAACTTGAAAAAAAGAAAGAGCACAATATACACATCCATGTGAAGATTAAAGCACAGTGAAGCAAAACAAGAAAATACTTGTTTTTTTTTTGGTTAAAAAATCTTACAACAGTCAATGACAGAAGATATGCAGGCAGAGGGAAAGAGAGAGAGGGAGATGTAGTTGAATTGCAGAGATCAGGCACATACCAAGCCTGCCCTTGCCTTTTAAATGCATCAGTTTTGGATCCAAGTTTCATGCAAGCCATTTCCTCACTGTAAAAAAAAAAAAGAAGCAGCAGAACTCCGAGCAAACCCTTTACCAAAACTGAAACTCAAAGAACAACGAAAACCCAGTTCTGCTTTAACAACCGACCAGCCTAAATTGAACCTTGAAAAGTAACCAGAAAATCTCCTAATAAGAGACCAAATTGAGGTCAACTCCTCCAATTCTTAGCCTCCCAAAACAAGCACCCACCAGCTCAAAATGAATAAAGCTTTCTACTTACTATTTGTCTATCAGCCCCTAACAACCTTCAGCAAGAATATTCCACACCTTGAAAACAGAGGACTACAACTATTCAATTAAAGCAAAAAAACAAATCACCTCAGTGAGTTCCTTTTTCTCAGTGCTTGTTCGTTTCTTTTTCAGGTTATAACCTATAGAAATGTTAATAATTCAGTGCTTTTGCAATGGTCATGATGATGTTCACCACTTAAAAAAGCCAAAAAGATGATCAGAGCTTGTTTGGGTATTAGTGGCTTGCACCTCCGACACCAAACCTTTGCATGTATATCCAAATCCATGTGGGACCCTTCGGCCTAAACACACTCCTTGGTTTTCTAGAACTCTATTACATGGAATCTTTCGACATTTCATGTATCAATTTTCTTTATGTCCAAACAGTTTTTTTCTTCTTCTTAAATATTAAATTTCCAGTACTGAAGTTCATTATTGAAAGAATTAAATTTTAAACTTAAAATAATGTTACCAAGAGAGATGGTCACAATTAGAGCGGAAATAGGAGTAATAGAAAATGTTATCAAAAAGTATAACATTAAGTTAAACTTAACTTAAAATATTATCTTTTTCATAATTTTTTTCAGTTAACCTAAAATGTTAAAGATTTATGTAATATTTTTCGATTGTCAATAAAAAATATTACGAAGAATGTAATATTTTAAGTTTAACAAAAAAATATTATGAAAAATATAATATTTTAAGTTACATCTAATCAACAACTTTTATTAAATTCATTTAAGAAATCTGTTGTTAAGATTAGGGATAGACATGAGACCCGAACTCAACCTTATCGAGTCGGGTTTTTTTTAAAAAAGCTTCGAGTTTGGGTCGGGATTTTTTAAAGGTGATGTTCGAGTTGGATTCGGGTTTAAGGTAAAAATATAATTTTATATTATATATTTAGGAATAATTACAATAATATTCATATGTATATTATTTTTTCAATTAAATCACTATTTTTATTGAATAAATATAATATTTTTATTATTATTTCGGGTCGAGTCGGATCAGATTTTATCTATAAAAAAAATAGGTCGGGTTCGGGGTCGGATGACCCTAAACCCGACCCATGCCCATCCCTAGTATATTACCGGGAATGTCATTATCCTCCTTCCCTTAGGTATTGTTAGATTATCGGTGTTTTGGACTAAAACGCCCTTAATTTTTTTTCTCAAAAATATCATTCTTCTGTCATTGAATAATAAAAATTCTACGAAGGTTAAATTACAAATTTATCCTTAAACTATTTTAGATTTACAAAAAAAAAGTTTATAATTAAAATTTTATATGAAGTTCAGGGGTTAAAATAAAATTTTATCATTTCATTCAACTTTTTTATATTTTCAATTTTGTAAAAAAAATATATAAATTTTATGAATTTAAATTTTTTTTGAAGAAAATATATAAATATTTTTCTAACTTGTTAAAAAACCAAATATATAATAAGGATAATTTGGTAAAATATAGATTCCAATAATCTTTTATTTCTTTAACCAAACATGATAATCTTATATTTATGTTATACCAACCAAACACAAAATACAATATTCTCAGTAATCCTATTCTCTGATAATCTTTTACTCTCACTGATAATCTTACATTCCGTGAATCAAACGCTCCCAAATACATTATCAGTATCCTGGTAGAGGCTTCTCCTCTTGTACCCTTCAAAAATTTAATTCCAAAATTGGTAACAGGGGTGAAGCAACTCCAACCACTTATTAAGTCGTCTTTTTAATTAAAAGTTTAAAGTAATTTTTAAACTATCACATCAATTTCTTTATTAAATATTAATGGTATGTAAATCAATCGGTATCATTCAGATAATTAAATGATTTGTTAAAAGAATAATAGATCATTTATTAAATTATAATAGTCTCATAATTAAGTGTTTATTCATATATTTTGCTCTATAAATTAATAAAGTGATATATATTCTTAGTATATGTATCAACTTTGAAAGGAATACTTTTTGAAAAATAATCATATATCAATATTTAACAAGTCGCTTTAAGATTTTTTAATTAAAAAAATTACTATGTTTACAAATAAGATCTTCGTTTATAAAGTTTTAATATTAATTTAGAAAATATCCGACTACAAATTTAATGTGAATCACACTTTTATTTTTCTATCATGTCTGATTGTCTCGATGGCATTTATTAACTTGCTTGATTGCAGGAACCAAATTTATTACGTACATTCAATTTCTAAGTCGAGAAAAAGCAAATATGTACTACTCAATTTCCTTCCCATAATAAGCATATTATACGTACTTTAATATTAATTACTTCCCATTATAATTGCCTGCGATAATGGTAAGTTCTCAATCTCACGCTCTCTATATATAGAAAGAGAATCAATATGTTATATATATAGTGAATTCCATAAGAAAAATACTTGACCTCCATGGATTTCCCAAGTGTTAACAGAACTTCCATGGTCGCAACATATTTAATCCTGGGAATTTTTATAGCCAGCCTTACGATAGCAGGTTCGATTTCTCTCCTTCCTCGTCGTCTGATTCCATGTTTAAAAAAAAATTGTTGCAGTAATCTTAACGAGTAAATTGTTTTTTATTTGTATGTGATATAGGTGCAACAAAACCGATTGGCGTATGCTATGGAAGAATTGCCGATAATCTGCCCTCTGCTCTCGACGTTGTCAATTTCTACAAATCGAATGGTATCGGGAAGATGAGACTCTACGATCCAGATCAAGCAACTCTCCAGGCTCTTGAAGGAACAAACATACAACTAATCCTCGGTGTTCCCAATGAAGACCTTCAATCCCTTGCCACTCCCTCGACTGCAGCTGCTTGGGTCCAAAACAACGTATTAGCCTTCTATCCGGCAGTCAAAATTGTATACGTAGCAGTCGGGAATGAAATAAAACCAAACGACCCTGAAGCTCAATATGTTCTGCCCGCAATGCAAAACATTTACAATGCTTTGGTATCAGCACAATTAGGTAGTGAAATCAAGGTTTCCACATCAGTGGAAGCGAGTCTGTTGGGCCAATCGTACCCTCCGTCAGCAGGCTCTTTTGGTCCAGTTTCAAGCCCTTACATGACACCCATTGTCATGTTCTTAGCAACCACTGGGGCGCCTCTTCTCGCTAATGTCTACCCTTATTTTGGCTATATTAGTGATCCCCAGAACGTACGTCTCGACTATGCCTTGTTTACTGCTCCGGGAACTGTGGTTCAAGATGGCTCATTGAACTACCAAAGCATGTTCGATGCGATTTTGGATGCTTTTTATTCTGCTTTGGAAAATGCTGGGGGTGCCAATGTTGGGATTGTTGTGTCGGAGACTGGTTGGCCATCTGCCGGAGTAGAAGCGGCGACGGTGGAGAATGCAGGAATTTATTACCAGAATGTGATCGATCATGTCAGCAATGGAACTCCCAAGAAGCCTGGACAAGCTATCGAAGCTTATCTCTTCGCAATGTTTGATGAAGACCTCAAGGGTCCGGCTGAAACTGAGCGCCATTTCGGACTCTTCTCTCCTGATAAGCAGCCCAAGTATAATCTTGTTTTCAGTTGATTTCTGATCAACCAAGGCAAGCTTTCGACTACGAGTGGGCTTAGGAATTTTATTTTCCGGGGTAAATAAATTATTATACATACGGAATATCAATTAAATTTGTTCAGACCTGTTATCAATGCATGAGTAATCATTTTTTTTAATTAAAAAATATAGTTAAATAATTTATGCTTGTCTCGTTTATTTGTTCCCAATTCTAAATGTTAAATCATATAATGTATCACTTTATTATTAATAAAATTATGAATAAATCATCTAACTTGTAAGAGTTATAAATAAGTCATTTAATTAATTGATTATAAAAACATGTCATTTAATTATTAAAAATGAACAAGAAGATGTAATTAATAAGATTATAATCCAGTCTCTCAATTACTAATGAAATTATGAGCAGTTTATCCAATTTTAAAAAGTTATAAATAAATTAACTAATTAATAAAAAAAATAAAATCTATTTTAAATTTTAGGCTTCTTGAAGATTTGGAATTCCATTTAATGATTTGAACAGTAAAAAGGCTATCATTGGTGAGATGAATGCCATATCTCAAGACAAAAATCATACAAAATTTAGACAATATAAATTAGATGTTGTATTTATCTATTATAATAATTATGTCACTTTATTTACTAATTATAATAATAAGCACATTTAAATGTAACAAAAAAATTTAATATTTACTATGAAGTCAACCATAATAATTTAATTATTACAGTGCATAAATAAAATGATAAAATTATAGCTTTTGAAATGAAACAATTTAATTGTAAATTTATCTATACTATAATAACTCGTGTAATTTATCTATAAAAGCTACCCATTACAAAGTAGTAAGAATATTTTACCGCACTAAAATGCCCTTGTTGACCTTCGGTAGTATTTAAGAATTTTCGAATAATGTTATATCTCACACCAGATAAATTACAAAATGGTTGTCCCTTGTTCCCATATGTAATGGGGTAAGGGGGAGGTAAGATAGTAGACTGCCCCCAACACTAGGTTGAGAGTAGCTTCCGTAGGAGACCTCCGAATTATGAAATGCCCTCCATGGGACTCGTTCCCACGACCTTAGATAAATTACAAAATGTTCTTGTAATTCATGGTCAACGCTAGGTTTATAAACAATGGTTTCAAACCTATAGGTTAATCCTTCTCTAGCAACTTAACATAAGGTAAAATTTTATTTTTGAGGTTTTTTTAATCAAACCATTTAATTATTTAAATTATACTAATCAAACTATTAGTCATTAACAAATAAGATGACGTGACAGTTAAATTTTTTAATATAATATACATTTAGTACTTGTTACTTATAAATTCTTTTAATTTGAGCACATTTTTAATTTAATTAAATAAATCTAATTCTCTTATTGACATATGCCAACGTCTAATTAGAGAATTAAATCTACTTTTCTCCAAACTCCGATCACAGTAGGGAAAGGGGGGAATCGCACTAGTTTGGAAAACCAAACTCATATTCAACTAGTGGGCCAAGAGCATTAGATAGTTTATAATTAATAACCTTTAAAGGTATATATTTTGTATACTAATATCGAAACCTTAAATTAAATTCATATCTAATTTTAAAATATATTTTATTTTTTTACATAATTTGTTAAATGTATTTTATTCTTATATATTATATATATAATTTTACCTTAATTTAAGAAAATATATTTTATTTTTATTTTAGCTTTAAAATATTAAACCGAATTGATATTATTTAAATAATTAAATGACCTAATTACATAATTTGAAAAAATGAATTTTAAGTGATCATAAATATAGTTTACCTAATTAGAAAGAGCTATGCTAAATAATAAAATTTTCAATTATAAGGTTAACACTAATTATTTAGTAAATATCAACCATAATTTAATGTGATTCACACTTTACTTTTTTTTATCATGTCTGATTGCCTTGGTGACCTTTATTAACTTCATTGATTTGCAGAACTGAGTTTATTACGTACTTTCAATTTCCGTGGTAGTCGAGAGAAAGCAAATATGCAATGATCAAAATATACGTATCTTAATATATATATATATATATATATATATATATAGTCCTAGTGTTATAGTGAATTCCATAAGAAAAATACATGACCTCCATGGATTTCCAAAGTGTTAACAGAACCTCCATGGTCGCAACACATTTAATCCTGGGAATTTTTATAGCCTGCATTACGATAATAGTTTCGATTTCTGTCCTTCCTCATCTGTTTTTTACATTTGTTGCAGCGATCATAACAAGTAAATTGTTTATATTTGTACGTGATTTAGGCGCAACAAAACCGATTGGCGTATGCAATGGCAGAATTGCCGATAATCTGCCCTATGCTCTCCACGTTGTCAATTTCTACAACGTCGAATGGAATCGGGAAAATGAGACTCTACGATGCAGACCAAGCAACTCTCCAGGCTCTTGCAGGAACAGACACAGAACTAATCCTCGGTGTTCCCAATGGAGACCTTCAATCCCTTTCCACTCCCTCAACTGCAAACGCTTGGGTCCAAAACAACATATTAGCCTTCTTTCCAGCAGTAAAAATTGTATACATAGCAGTCGGGAACGAAATAAGACCAAACGACCCTGAAGCTCAGTATGTTCTTCCCGCAATGCAAAACATTTACAATGCTTCGGTATCAGCACAATTAGGTGATGAAATCAAGGTTTCCAGCCTAGTTTTCGATTAAGAGAGAGTGAATGAATTATTTTTTGGTATAATCATCTGTTTTCGATTTATTAATCGATTAATCCGAATCGGATACTGTAGAGACAAAGACGACTTTTCCAGCTTAGTTTGTTTTCACAAACGTTATGATTCAAACCTCTAAACTTTGTTTAAAGAATATAGTGTTTCATCTCATCAGACCAACTGATTATAAGTAGAGTGAATTTTTCATCAAACCTAAATAACGCATTTCTTCACTTAAGTTATTGACGGTCTAAAAGCTCATATAGGATCATATAGATGCATTTAGGAGCATATAGTTGCATGTGGTGGAATTATGTTTGCCGAGACATTTTTATTTTGTAATCAATGTTGTTTTATGGGGAAGGTGTTTTGTTTGATGATGTGCAGAATTTGGGAGCAATGATAAGCAAAATGAAATTGCCATGACATGATGAGATTACTTAGCAAAATGTGATTGCCACGACAACTCGGACGGTATTTCTGGGCAGAAAAAGTCCAAGAAAATATTTTTAGTAAGAGTCAGCTGTCATGGCATAAAAAGTGCTTTTTGCAATCAGCCATAAAGGAGGGGCCAATTACCATCTTTATACCGACTCTCACATAAAATGAATGAACTTTAGGGTACTAGTGTAATTTTAACACAAAACCCTAGGTTCATTCTCCCCTATAAATAAGAGATGAAACCTGACTTTTTGAAGAGACTTAGAGACTTTTACACAGCCGCCAAGAGCCTAAAAATTCGGAGAAAAAGATCTCTCTTTTTTCCGTCAATCTTTTTTGCCGTGGCATTCCTCCGTTGACAAGCTAGAGGGAATGGCATTCTAGGCATCCGAGAGGAGCTAGTTCGCTAGGACTGTCCGTGGTGGCCGAGGGAAGCTTCGACAGTGCACGTCGAAGGCTTTTCCTCATTCCCTTTGCTCTTTGCTTTCATATTTTATCGTTTGGGTTGTAAGTAACGTATTAACTTGATTTGTGCTTGCTTATTTCTAACCCCCACAATGAACTAATCCTATTTGGTGGGAGTTTATTTTGGATATTTAAGTTTTGCTTTAATGAATGATTATTTTTCTATGTTATATTCTGTTTTGTTTATGAAGCTTAGTGCCTTAAGGTTGTAGGAGCTACGAGAGTAGTCGTTCCTTAGTATATTACTTAGTGTTTGAGAGAATGTCTAGGTAGCACATCCTTAGTGTTCGAGAGAAACTAGGGAGGAACCATATAAGCAAGGGGTTCTAGATAGTAATTAGGCCTAATCGACCTTAGAGATAAGGCTAGGATTTCATTCTACTAAAATGAGTTGTGTATGAGCGATAGGTTAGATGTTAATGCTACCGCAAAAAGGTATTGCCGAGACATATCCTATTATCTGGACCAATAGGATCCCTGTAGTAGCTAACGCCAATCGGATTTGCCAAGACATCTTCAATCTGTCAAGTCCCTTACTAGAGATAGCATAGGGCACCCTTAGTAAACTCTGTCGGGTAGAGAAGGCATAGAAGTAAGATCATTCTGAGAAGTAGACTTAAATTTCCTAAGTAACTCCTATCACTCATTCCCATAATAGCTTGTCGTGTGAGGAAGTCTAAAGTCCTGATAATCAAATCCAGTATTTACATTTTATATTACCTTTGCATTTTCATTTGTTTGCACTAAACACAATTTAATTTGTCACGACATCTCCATCCATTTTGCCACAACATTCTCATTTGTGAATATCATTAGCTACACTTAGTTACTTTAGAATAGTGCATAAACTTTACTCAAGATCTCTCCAATCCATGTGGATACGATACTCACTCATCAGTGTTTTACTTGTTCGATTGTGTATACTTGCATATATTTCCGCACCCATATTTAGTACTCACAAATCGCGGACAAGTTTTTGGTGCCGTTGCCGGGGATTGGCAATTGAAGATGTTGAGTTTAGTTTTTGCACCGTTTTATTTTTTTTCTTTGTACATAGTTACTTGTTTTTGTGTTTACCTTTCTCAGGTATTACGTTGTCGCATGACCCGTAAAAGACCCAAATAACCATTATTTCATATTGAACCTGAGGCTCATGTTGTTCAAAATCAGGTGAAGGATCCTACAGTTCTAAATGTCACGACAATTCCAAATGTTGGGAATGTTGCTCGACCACGTACTATTAGAGATCACTTAGCTCCCACCTTGGATGACCTAAAACCTGCTATTGTAGCTCCCAAGATTTAGGCAACCCAGTTCGAGCTCAAACCGGATATGTTCGACATGTTAGACTTGATTGGACAATTTGGTGGTGCTCCTCATGAGGATACAAGGCAACATGTTCGGGCATTTTTAGAGGTCTGTGACTCCTTTCGACGACAAGGTGTACATGAAGATGTGTTGAAATTGAAGTTATTTTCATATTCTTTGAAAGATCACGCCAGGACATGGTTCAATGGATTACCTTCCGGCTCGATAATGTCTTGGACTGACTTGTGCAAAAAAAAATTGGACAAAAAATATAGTTTTTCATTAATTCATCTTTCTTTCTTTGTAAAGAATTTGAGTTAAAATTATAGAATGTGGTAAGTTATTAATAAACTAAAAAAATTATGAATATGTATTATCTTATAATCATCTTAAATTATTAAAAAAATATTTTATTAACTAAAAAACGTTATTAAAAGTTTTTAATTATAAGCTTGTTTTACTGACATTAATTATTAAATCTAATTCGAATAATCATTTTCTTTATAAAAATGATAATCTGATATGATTATTCATAAATGATATTAAGATAATTTTATTTTACTGAGGTAAAAGAAAACCTTGATATTGTTGGTGCAGGCAGGCTCGCCAGAAATGTGGTAACGAGGCTAGAATATGGTGGTGTTTTAAGATTTTTTACTCCTCAATTTAATAACCATATGTGTGTTATCTTCAAAATTTATGTTCAATTGAACCACTTGGGATCAAAGAATCTTCACTGACACATAAATTTGATTGAAATTTTCAGGCTTATGTGACACAGGAGCATGTGATGTTGGGAACTCTAACAGTAAGAGAAACTCTAACATACTCGGCTCATTTAAGGCTTCCGCGTACTTGACCAAAGATGAAGTAAAAGACATTGTGGAGGGAACAATCATGGATATGGGTCTTCATGAATGTGGTGACACAGTGGTTGGTAATTGGCATTTAAGAGGAATAAGTGGTGGGGAGAAGAAGAGACTTAGCATTTCCCTCGAAATCCTCACAATGCCCAAAATGTTATTCCTCGATGAACCTACTACTGACCTCGACAGTACCTCTGCTTTCTTCATTGTTCAAGCTCTCCGAAACATAGCTCGCGATGGCAGGACCGTCGTCTCTTCGATCCACCAGCCCAGTAGTGAAGTTTTTGCATTGTTTGATGACCTTTTATTGTTATCTGAAGGCGATACTGTTTACTTTGAAGAGGCAAAAATGGCTGTCCAGGTATAGGAACATGGAACAAACAAGCTTTTGCATTACCTAATTGCATGAGTTTTGATATGCCTGTAATCTAATTCCTTAGCTTTGATCTTCACAGATCTTTGCTAAAGCTGGTTTTCCATGCCCAAGTAGAAGAAACCCTTCGGATCACTTCCTCCGATGTATAAATTCGGACTTCGATGCCTAACAGCCACGTTGAAAGGTTCTCTAAGACTTCGTGTAAGTATTGCTCCAGAGTTTTCTAATTTGTTTGGAATTAGGATTACAGTTATTCTTCCAAACACTGACAGTTAATCTCATTTCTTTAGGATAAACCTTCAAGCTCGGATCCTTTCACAAGCATGGCAACAGCACAAATCATGGCTGCCCTCGTCGAGAAGTACCGGCACTCGAAGTATGCGAAAGCGGCGAAAGCTAGGATTCAAGAAATATCTAAAATTGTAAGTAATCAAAACTATAGCTTTTAATTTGATGTCTAAAAGTCTAAAATGCAAAACAGTGCCTGAAAAAAAAGTTGATGTGATTTCAGGAAGGACTTGAGGTAGAAGCAATCAGTGGAAGTGAAGCAACATGATTGAAACAACTTACAACATTGACAAAACGATCATTTGTCAACATTTGTAGAGATGCAGGATATTTCTGGGCAAGGATTGTGATATATATACTTGTATCCATCTGTGTCGGAACCGTCTTCTATGATGTTGGCAACAGAAATACCGCAATTCTTGCCCGTGTAGCTTGTGGTGCATTCATCACAGGTTTTATGACCTTCATGTCGATCGGAGGCTTTCCTTCCTTCATCGAAGAAATGAAGGTAAAATGAAATAGTCTTTGTGATTCAGTTGAGTTAAAGAAGGTAATAACATTGCTGTTGTCATGTGATACTTCCCATTGTTTGTTGTAACAGGTTTTTAATAAAGAAAGGCTGAATGGATATTATGGAGTTGCAGCTTATACACTCTCCAATTTCTTGTCCTCATTCCCATTTCTGGTTGCTATTGCACTCATCACAGGAACAATAACATTTTACCTGGTGAAGTTACTATCCGGATTTTCGCATTACGTGTTCTTTTGCCTCAATATCTTCTTCAGCATCACTGTGATTGAGAGCCTCATGATGGTGGTAGCTTCATTGGTTCCCAATTACCTTATGGGAATCATCACTGGGGCCGGAATCATCGTAAGTAATCGAAACAAAGTTACTTGATCATCTTTTCAAGCTCTCTAACAGTTATTTTAACTCGCAAGATCATCACTTTTCAGAGGATTCTAATGATGACATCGGGCTTCTTCAGGTTGCTGCCTGATCTTCCAATGATATTCTGGCGTTACCACATTTCATACATCAGTTTTAGCTCATGGGCACTTCAGGTATGAAATTCATCTATTAATGAAGCTAAATTAGTAAAGTATTTGCTCATCACAATCACTAACTATGCAATGATGTAGGGTGCCTACAAGAATGATTTCATCAGCCTCGAATTCGATCCGTTACTACCAGGTGATCAGAAACTAACCTGCAATCAAATCATCACGCAGTACTTCGGAGTACGGATCGGTCCAAGTGGTGGGATTTAACTGCAGTGGTGGTCATACTCATATGCTACCGCCTTGTCTTCTTCATGATTCTGAAGACGAAAAGGCTTCACCAATTTTTCAAGAAATTTATGCCAAGAAGACAATTGAGCATCTTGATAAAGGGCCCTCCTTCAGGAAGGTCTTCCAAGCGACACCAGCCTCTACACTCTCTTTCTTCTCAAGAGGGTCTTAACTCTCCATTACACTAAATTCTTTTTTTTTATATAACCGAAGGCATTGATCATATGCCACTGCTATATATTATATTATATGTGATTGTTGATTATTGTGTTGAATAGCTGATGTTTGTTTGTGATTAGTTGCTAAATGTCTGCTTATACAGAAAAAAAAAACCGAGGAAAATATACAGAGTGCGTGTGGATATTTTATATATACTGTTTTGCTTGTTTATCCTACATGTATACATGGATGGATATAAGGATGAACAAAACTTGACTCAAATTTCATAAACAAGTCTTTGGAAAGGTACCTTGTTCTTGTTGGCATTTGACAAAAAGGCCATTGGAGTGATTATTTCAGAAATCCATAACAAACTGAGCAGCTTAAATTAAAATTAGAAGTGAAGTCAACGTAGTTTTCACTATTAAATCACCATTTTCCCTATTAAATCATCTGAAACAAATATAACCAGCAGGCAACTGCAAAAAGGTCAATATCTCAAGAAATTTGAAGAAGAGAAGAAGAGAAAGCCATCAAAAAGCTTATGCACCACTTATTTGTTATGGAGGGGCTGCAAAGAGAGCTACTAAGAATCAAAACTGACAAATCCCTTTTCCCTCAAGCTTTCAACAGTTTCCTTGAGACTCACCTCCAAGGGAGTGAATTCTATTCCCAAACTCAATGCTTTTTCCTTTGACACCTGATACGTTGGCACATAAGGCTTGTCATCTGCACATCTGCCACCAATTTATCAAAACCGCTCACTGCTTCAGTATATAATACATATAACCTAAAATACGAGCATTCAATGAAGGATCAAGAAGAGAAAGAGAAGCACATGGCTCAGAGGTAGTCATGTAGTATGCTTTAAAATTTAGAAGTTGAAAACTTACTTTTCTGGGAGGTGGAAAGAAGGATATAGCTCACTTAAGATCTTTACAGCCTCCGAGCAATGTGCAACTCTCTCGACTAAACAATATCTTCCACTAGCTGATGGAATCTCAAATGCCTGGATGTGTGCATCTGCAACGTCTTTTACATTAACCCAACCGAAGGTTGCATTCGGGAATGTTTCTGCTCCTGCAGAAAGAACAGAGGATCGAGAAGAGATAGATAACCTCAGCAGGTGTAAACTTAGACAAAAGAAATCCCTAAAACAGATGCATTGTCTACATTCTTCTCGAAAGGCATGCAGGAGTGGCAACTCTGTCAACTAGTTACAATTTTATCGAAGAATTAGAAGTTAGCAAGGTTATAATAACTGGAGTTCCAGCATGCAAATTCTTGCCATTTTTTTTTATCAGGGATACTATTACAGTACGTATACACAAATTTCAAGCATGAGGAGTTGATTAGCAGGCCTTAATATTGAATTTTCCTTTCAATCAATTGACATTTACCAGGGAAGCAATATGTTGGAAGGGTATTATTTATTCCTATAAGAGGCATACAAGTTTAAGTGTGTCTTTCAGAAGATCATTAAAGAAAGTGTGTGTATGCGCACACGTGCTATTTTCTCGATCACTAGGGTAAAGAATATTGATCATCAAATATAAAGCAAATGGCATGTTCAGGGTTTGAAGGCAAACAGTAGCCAGGCAAAAATCACCCTTAATTAAGCTTAAAACTGCTGCAGCACTTGTGTTAAGTGTTGGCTGTAAAAGAGGACCGATCACCATTGCCGGGTTTATGACAACCAAATCGAGGCCCTTCTCTTTTGCAAATGTCCAGGCAGATTCCTCAGCTATGGTTTTGGAGACTACATACCAGAGCTGAATAAAAACGATGGCATTCAGAAATAATACCCTCTTATTATTTATATATATATATATATAAAACAGTGACATGATAAAATATTAGGCAACTTGTTACAGCATCAACTCCAAGCCACGCCCTAAAATATGGAATACTGGAGATAGCATAAACAACTTCTAACATAGAAGTAGCCAATTACAAGTCAAAAAGACTCATAGTTTCCACCTACTATCCAGCCAATCTACAAGTCAATTAGAGGATATGCCTGCTGTTAATAGTTAAAATCCTAATCTCTAGAAGCTCGAATCCACCCGTCAATAATGCCAGAAGGAAAACTCAGAGGAATGCATTCGTATGTTGACAAAAATTTACAGCTAAATTATTTATATCGAGACCGGAAACCTAGAGAAATTATGAAATTGGAACCTATTCTGCAATTTGATTGAACAAGCACCGATAAGCTAGTTTTTCAACTAGCTCAAACTCACATTTCGTACAAGCTGGACCTATATTCGAGCATTGATATAATAATAAGAAAACAAAAGTAAGATTCAGTGAATGTTGTTATATTTCACATGATTTATCTTTGTTTTTCAGTAACTAGCACAGAAATGAACAATTTGCATCTAATATACTTTCATTTGAACGTATCTCCGTATACAAATCCTTTTTTTGTTTCTTTCTCCGTACTAATTTTAGTACAACAGGTCGAATTTACATATAAAACACAACAGAATGTCGATACACTATCAGATGTGTAGCACATATACTCACCTTTAAGCTCTTACAGTACTCGGGATCGGTAAACCAACTTTCGTCAACCACAACATCTGGAGTTCGAGGTTTCCCAGTGTAAGTGACTGCAGCTATAGAAGATGTCAAGATCACTCGTTTGACAGAAGAGGTATTAGCACATGAATTCAGAACATTTAGTGTTCCCTTCACCGCAGGATCGAGTAATTCTGCCTGAGATGAGAAATGAAGAGTTAAAAGCTTATTAATTGAGGAGAGACATCAAAGTCAAATCCAAGCCAAGAAAAAAGAAAAGACTTTAACATTTGAAAACAACATTTGAAACTATGAAGATTAGAATGTCTGCAATAAATAGCTTCCTAATGGATGATGATATAAAAGAAAAAACTTAACAGGATAGGCAACTTTTACCGTGTCGCATTAGAAAACAACACAGTGGATACAAAAAGGATTGAACATCAACCTGTGGATCTGTGACATCATGATAAAAGGGAGATGCTGTGTGAAAAACACCTTCACAGCCTTCAACAGCATAATCATAGGAACCTTCTTCCAATAAGTCTGCTTTAAACAACTTCAGCCTTTCCTCAGCGCCCTCGAGTGCAAGTAAGTGTTGTGTTTTTCTCGGATCACCTATCGATGAATAGTAACTAATTAAAATGATTGAAACTGGTTTAGGGAACATCTAGGTGACTCATACAAGAACAAACAAGAGAAACGCCAGAAACAAAAAAGTTGTCTCGTGATAAATAGCAGATGCCTGTATGGTCAGTTCTTTCTTTCTCATCAAGCAACTATACCCCTTTCCAGCATTCCACATTTCTTTCAATCACCTCTAAAGATAGAGGAAACATGTATTATTCGGACTTTTTTCCTTTTGGAGTATTCATATCCTATACCTATGTCTGGCACGTAATTGAGCATAACAATGACAAATGAATGATCTTCCAGATATATGAAAAATCGCTAAAGAATTGAATAAACATGTATGAGACACGTACCTGCACCAAAGTAATCGATCAGAGCACAAGAAGGATACAAGAATCAACATTAAAAAAGATAAAAATAGATTCAAAGCCCAGAAAGAAGATACACAAATGATGATGATGAAACAAGGAAAAGCAGGAAGAGATACATGAAAAAAGAAAAGAACAGACTTGGGTCACGAACAGAGGCTTTGACAGTGTAACCACGAAGGAGAAGGTGCTTAACAAGGCATGAAGCAATGTAACCTGAGGCACCAGTAACGCACACGGTTTTCCCTTCTCCGGTGCTCATGATTTCTATTTTGTTGTTCCCTTTTTTCTGGAGGAGGGGGAATTGTTCTCTCTTTTGTGGGTGGAAATTGCAGATCGTTAATTCTTTCCTCCTCTCTGACAGTTGCGTTTTCAAATGCAATGTTTGCGTTTGCTATATTTAACAAACAATCTCGTCTCCTAGCTTACTTAATTGCCATTGTCATTCATTTCTCTTGTAAACAGCTCCATGCAATTAACAAGTACAATATTATTAGCGCGTGTAATTTTTTTACTTACACAAAAAAGTGGTGGTTTTCTACAAGGATTATTTGTAAATAATATCGAATTTCAATATTCAAAAGACGTCATTACTAGTACTTAAAATTATGATAATTATACACGATTTACTTGAACAATATTCACGTCAAATATTCGTACAATTAAAGATATAAATAAATTGAGCTTGAACCAAAAAAGCTATGTTCGTATTCGTCTATTTATTTTTAAAAATGTTTATGTTCGATTCGTGTTCATATAAATATTCAATATCATATTTATTTTATTTTGTTTATTGTTGAACAGCCAACACTCTCTTATATATACCCTTTTATTTGCAAAACAAAGAAAAATGAGGAAATTAAGCCGCTAGTCCTTAAGTTCTTTAGGCTTCATAGTTTGAACTCCAAAGTTCAACTTAGTTCATATGATTTTGAACCTGCTTTTCGAAACAAGAACAAAAAGCAATAGAAAAGGCACTCAATGGAGTGGGAAAGCAGTGTTTGGTAGCTAATTAGGATTGCATTCGTGTCAAGTGTGATAATGCAGTGTCCTGATCCACAATAATCGTATTCTTCTGGGGACTTTATTTAATAAACACATATATGACTAAAATTCTGATGCTGATTAACAGATGCAGCTCTGGAAAGAAACTTGAGGTGTTAATGGAGCAAGGACTACCGCAAAACTGCTGCACCTCTTGACTCAGTCTGGGCGCTGCTAGGTTGAGGATCGTACTCTGGTCCATCGATGGACGGCTTTATCACCGAATAAAACAACACATTGTAGAAGATTGTGAAAGTAAGGAGAGCAACAGTTAAATATGCTAGGGCAGACCCTGGAATTTCTGGTCTATCTTCTACCATTTCATCCCTCGTAAGCTTTACATCTGCAGCTGCATTCAGTTGAAAGTAAACATGTTACTACTACAAGCTAGTAAATAAGACTAGTGATATCCATGTCTGGATAAGAGAAGGATTCGTGGATGTTGAAATTCCAACTTCAAATCCGATAAATATTGTTGATAGAATCAAAGCGGTTCATTTTTTTTTATTTAGATGGACAATCGCAATGGATCAATTTACGACCGATAGACAGAGACAATTAAAGATAATAAACGATGTCATATATCTTCAGGTAAAGAGAGAGGTAGAAGAAGAAGTATCCATTCTCCTTGATGGTATAGGGTTTATGTATTTGTTCTTCTGTATCAGACCTTACATCATGATTTTTTATTCACAAATTAACAGAGTAAATAAATGTAATCATCGGTTAGTAAATTTAACACCGACAAGTCTTTCGGGCTTTTCAATAATCTTGTCAAAATACTGGCTACCAAACTTCGAAGATTTTAGTTTACAGATTGTAGTTTGCGAAAGAATAACTCCAGAAATACAACAAATGTCATCGCTAATAAAGATTAAATGAATAAATCGGGCTAAACCCAAGTTGATGCTGCTACTTACTCGTTGCTTTACCTATACTGATTAAGCCATTCACTTGATTTCTTTTTGTTTAAGCAGGACGATAAAAGAAAATTACTCTAAAATAAAACCCAGACAGCGTCCATGAATTTAATTAACAATTTGTTGCCAAAACATAAACAACAGCAGATAATTAAAGATAAAAATGAAGGGATATCTCAGGTACCTCTGATCTTAGGGGTGCTGACTTGTTTATTAGAGAGGATTTGCAGCTGCTGGTCAAGGTTTTTGAGGGCTTCTTTAGCCTTTTCTGGGTCTACTTCAAACTGCTCTGTATCTTTCTCCACTGCATGAGCAATCCAAGAAGACGATGATGGTAAGTTGGTTTTCTTCTTGGCATTGAAATTACAGGTAATACTCCCGCCATGTTGATGTTGAAGTTTAACCCATTGAGAGAGCGGAGGAAATGGTGATGAACGGTTGCTTCGAAGCAGCAAATAATGGAGACTAAGCATTTCTGTATCTCTTTTAATGTTTGGCAATGGATGGCAGTGCCACTGATGACCTTTGAAGATAGTTTCACAGGGTTATTTGGGTCTTTTTCGTTTCCTTTAAGGCAATTTGCTTAGCATTATTTTGCATCCCAAAATTATATGATTTAATTGATTTTTTTATAAATTAAAATTATTGCTTATTAATTTATCTAATTAATTTTTTAAAAATGGGAAATGGAAGAATATAGTGAAGCCTATAATATTTTAAAAATATATATATCTTTTGGGATAAAAATTATATTTTAACAATAATTAAAATTAGTCAATAATTTATAAAACAAGTGATTAAATTTTTTTAGTTAATATCTCCTCTTTTCTTTAGATTGTGGATTTAATTTTTAATAATATTACTAAAAAATTAACTTAAATGAAATCATTAAATTCTTTTTTATTTATTATCAAATAAATATCTTTAATGATTTGTAACTTATAATTTTAATAATATAAACTGATGTTTTATCACTACGAGAAGGGAGAATATAAAGAAACTAAAAGGTATAAAATAAAAAATAATAATAATTTTGAAGATTACATATAACATTTAAACTTATTATGAAAATTTAATAAGATATTAATAAATTTACTTTGTGATCTTAATGATCAAATAGAACGTTATTTTTCAAGATTTTGAGTTTGATTAGTTACATCTATAGATATGTATGCATTATTAATAGTTAGCAATAATAACAAATAAAATTATAAACATATATTATCTTATAATCACATAATACTCTTTAAAATTAACAATAAATAATAAAAAAATGATAATATTTGATAAAAACTAAAATTATTTAATATAATATTTTAACTTATTATGATATTTAATAAAAAAACGTATTCTAATACGTATTTTATTAATAATACCATATACCTATTGTAATAATTTAGAATGTTACTTAACTCACTCTCCATATAGATAGATATTATATCTTAAAAACAAAAGCAAAATAATCTCTGTTTTGAAAATTAAACCGGACCGGCCGGTTCAACTGGGAATCATTATTTAGTCCGGTTTAATTTAAACCGATTGAACCGCTATTAGTGAACCGACTAGAACCGTTGAACCGTTCGAACCGGACCGGCTGAAAACCGGAAAAAAACCGGAATTTTTTTTAAAAAAAAAATTAAACCAAACAACGTCATTTGTTAAACGAGCCAAGTCGAACTCGAGTATTGATGAGCTCGACTCGAACTTGAAAACTTTAAAAGTAAGCTCAACTCAACTCAAACTCAAAAGCTAAAAATTATCAAGTTCAACTCAAACTCGAAATATAATATTGAAACTTGAACTCAAAAAGGCTTGAACTCAAAAAAAAAATTAGAAGCTCGATTGAAGCCTAAAATTCGAGCTTGATTGAAGTGAAAGAATAGTTCACTCAATGCTCACCAAAAGGCTCCATGATTTTGAATGCCAAATTACATATATTATTTATAGAAGTTAGTTGTGATGCGCTTCTATGTTTCTTAGTAATGTGAGATTATTTTGTTCTCATATTTTTACTCTTTAGACTTTTGGGATGCAAATCTATGTTTCTTAACCATGTGAGATTATTTTTTTAAAAAAATTAAACAAAAAAATATCATTTTGTTATGATTTTTTAACCCCAAATTTATTTTTTAATTATAGTTATATAATTATATTTATTATTTAATATGTTTTACCTTAAATATTATGTTGTAGTTAATTTGAATCATTTTGTTTCACTTGATTTTATGGTTTTTAACTTATATATGTTATGACTTGCTTTGAATATGACTTGTGATATAAAAAATTATTTTTTATTAAATATTTTTATTTAATTTTTTAAATAATTATGACATCGTCCGATTCTTCCCATCAGTAAGACCGATTCAACCGGTTGAACCAATGAAACGATAGTATGACCGGTTTGTTAATCAGTCCGGTTATGAAAACCATGAAAATAATAAAGAAACGCAAATACGAAAAAAAATTAGTAGGAAAACAAAGAGAGAGGGAGAGAAAACGGGAAAAGAAAAGGAATGAAGAAATCAGGAGCAGAGAAGAAGAAAGCCCGAAGATCTTCGGCTTCCGTTCAAAACGACAGCAGAGATCCCGGCTCCGACACTCCTCCTAGAGTTTGCTTTTTCCTTCTCATTTCATTTCTTTGATCTAGTTTTTCTTTTCATCTTTTATTTGACATTTCTTCTTGTTTATTTTCTTTTTTTATTTGAATTTTTTTATGTCATGAATTTTAGTATAAATACTACACATTTTCTTGAACAAGGAAAAGTACATGTATATATCTCTAGAAAAAATGAAAGATGGATATGGATTCGTGTTAATTGTTTGCACCAGCCCAAACAGGGTAATACCATTTCCTTTTTTTCTCTCTCTTTTGAGGAGCTGGGGCCGGAAACTCTACAGGATCTTTTATTTCTTTAATTTATTATTTGTAATGCTCTGTTTAATTACCTTTAGCACTAAAGCAAAGAAGGGATAGATTCTCAGGCTCGGGTTTCAAATGTATGAATTGTTCATTACATTTGAAAGGGCTATGTTGTCTTAGAATGTTTCAGTTTCGGGTATCCTTTGTTTCCACTATTACTAAAATTATGCGAAGAGTTTGATTGTCATAGTACGGATTAAAAGAAGAGGAACTCAATATAGAGGTCATGAAAGTATCAATTGCACATTTTCATTTTGTTTTTCGTTTTTTTTTTCAAGCCTTAGTTTCTGATTATTTGGCCCTGCTAACTCAGGAAATGTTGCTTCCATGGTGGAGCAAAATGGTAATTTAACTTACCAATGCGGTACGAATCTATGATAACAACTAGACTTTCTATGATGCTATTGAGATTTGTGCTCAATTATGATTTGTTGTCAGTTTTCCCAACTAACTGATGGTATTGCCTTTTATGCTCGACTTTGATCTTTGTGATATGGATTTTAGAGTTGTTTTTTCAAGTATGGACGTACTGCCAAGCATTTATTGTTGAACCTAATTAATGAATTTTCTATTTTTTTGTTTTCTAATTTTCTGTATAATTTCCTTTCTGGCCAGAAACAAGCTACAAAAAAGGATGTGTTTCAGTTGTTTTCTGAGAAAGTGAGGGACCACAAAGATTTGGTTTCTAGATGGGCTGTCTTGCAGGAAACTCGTGTTGAATATTTTAGAGGGAAGGATTTTGTAAGCTTTATGAAAAATCATCCTGAGCTTAAAGAGATACTCGAGTCAAATAGAAATCTAGATGCTGAAGATATTGCCGATATTTTGTTACAAAAAAATCTTTTGGTGCGCTGTGACCGTGTGGTGAAAACTGTTCGTCCAGGGAAGAAAAAGCTGTCTACCTGGCCTGCACATTTAGAAATTTTCCCTGTGAGTCTTTTACTTGTTTAACTTCAAAATAGTCTATAAATCATATACTGCGTTTACTCTTAGGTGTTGTAGCTGCTTGAATTTCTGATAAACAAACATGTATATATGTTGTATGCATATCTGAGTTATCTTCTTGATATATGAAAAGAGTTATTTCTCCACAATTACTTAATGCAGACAAGACCTGTACTGCTACTCTGCCCTATGATGCTGCTCGAACTTTTTTTTCCCGGAGAATCCTCAAGATTATGTGCTTAGTATTTACAAATACCTTATGTTAGATTTGTACGTATGGTCTGCCCTTTGATATCACTGGTTTGAACTTAAATATATTATATATTCTGAAAGTTTTTATATTTTATATACATATGTATTTGAGAGGAGTCCTAGGGGCTTGTTCCATTTTATTGAGTGGTTCCTCAAGTTAGAAGTCTCCTATGCAACAAGGCTTAGTATCTTTGACGATTTATGTGCTGTGGGATCTGAGGTTTTCTATGAAATATGATGTTATATTTATTACAATCTACTGTCATTTGCTTTCCTGCAAAGTTGATTTTAACAAGTTACCCTCCCCCCTTCCTCCCATTGCGCACCTTTGATGTTCTAGTTCGTTTTTTTTCTTCATATTAATTCTGAAAATAATATGCATTTTCTTAAATTTGCATTGTTCATTTTATCTCATCATAACTTCTTTTAATTATTACAAAAAGAAGATGGCCGTCGGAAGTAGAACAAAGTCCCAAGATGCTTGAATTTTGGAATGCTAACATAGGCATTCTATCAGTCTTTCCTTTGTTCTTGCAATTGGCTATGGCTATTTGGTTTAAGCTGTCTCTGTTCTATCATCCATGTGATTATTTTGCAGAAAAAAATTTCTTCCTCTTTTTTATTTTTGAAAAAAACAGATTCAAATATCCTGTTGAAACTGATGCCTTCTTGTTTTGTGGATTTACCTATATCCTGACCTTTTTGCAGGAACAAGTGTTCTCTGAAAATGATGCGTTTTTTGCATGGACGTTTGTAAAACAGAGGCCATTATGGCAAACACTTCTCTCATTTATCTGGCCTGTGTTGACACTTGCAATTTGCTTGTTTCCTGTATATCCACATCGATGCAAATTACTAATACTCTACTGTTGTGTGGGAGTGCTTCTACTTATTCTCTCGTTGCTTTTATGTAAGTTTTTCTGTATTCATTTTTATATTATTTTATATTATCATATATTAGGTCCTTCTTTATGTAATTTGTTTAGTTCTTTTACTATATTAGGATGCGTTTGATTGTATTAAAAACTAAATATTTTTGGTTTACCATGTAAGAAGAAATTTATTTGAATGATTCTGGCTGAAGAAAGAATTAGTTGCTAGTTTGATTTTCAGGTTGAGCAAAGATTTGTTGTTGTCGTGATCTTTTTTCCTCCATTCAAGGCTTTGTTTGCTACCTAAGAATTGCATTACATTTAAACCCCTGTTTTAGTCACATAATCCTATTGTCATATATGTTACGCTATCATACGATCATCAGTCCTTCCTATTATAATCCTTTCATTTTCTTTTAATTACAAATTTTGCAGTGAGAGCTACAATATTTGGTGCTGCATGGATCATTCTAGGAAAGCGTGT